ATTGAGAGGTATTTAGTACAGTGAGTTATTATGTCTTATTCGGTCAGTATAATCCTCCAACCGACAAAGTTTGTCTTTCAGTGTGTTTGCCACCCTAATCCCAGATTTGTTGAGAATGGCACTCAGGGTTTCTGATGTCCCTTCGTTACATATGGCAACAGTACAGAGACGTTGGATTCCTTTCTGGTCGTCTTACAGTTATCATCATCTATGCGATTTGATGTATTTCTGTTATGATGTGGAGTTGTGAGAACGAACGAGAATACTTAACGATTGTTAGTCGAGGGTTGAGACGATGCAACTCGAGTGATTGTCAAAGAGAAATGAAAAGACTGAAAACCAGATGAGTTTATAGTATCTCGGACTGAAGTGTTTCTGAGTGAAAAGTGACCCTATTTATAGAGTTTACAATAGCCTTGAAAGACAAGGAATCATTAGTATATTTAAAGAGCCAGGAGCCAATCAGAACAATAGCGGGTGATACTAAATACGACGCATATGCGGGATAAGAGCGCGAATCAACAGTTCAAATATATACAGAACTGTAAGTGTGGAATATGGGGGATATCGACATTCGTAAGAATTTCTTAATAAATTTAGGAGGAGAATAATTATTCAGAATTAAAGCTTCTCTTATGGATATCACCTTGTTACTTAAGTTTGTTGACTTAGTGGAGGGACTTCTTGCTGGATTACTGAAAGATTCGACTAAGCCCGCCTACACTCATGTAGGGTGAGGTGACTTAAAGTCTCAATATCTATTGGAGTGTAATACCTTTTTGTAGACACTTATGTCTTCACCACCATCAGTAAGTCTGCTACCCTTCACCAATTGAGGTGGCTTGAATATGTGTTTTACAAGAAGAACCACTTCCCTACTCGATGCGTATTGCTTGTCGAGGTAGGACTAAGTTGGAAAAGAGTTCAGGTCAAGATGTTACAACAGTAGATGAAGTTTTTGGTTTATGACTTACGGTTGTGTAAGGCAGTGTGTAAACTGGTTGGTCGGGGTACTCAAGACGATAGAAATCAGTGGTTGGAGATCACCGCTGATGCCTTTTGAAAAATTGAATACTTACACCAGAAGATACAGAAAACAAACGCGACGGAAAGAATGTTTATTGTGAAAAATTGGAACGGTACCCGTTACATATGTTACACCTTGCAGTGACCCAGTCATTTGCGAATGTGCTTCGTTCCTCTTCTGTTCCTGTCTTGATTTGCTCTTGATCTGCTCTTCATACATTCTATCAGCAGCATCCATTGTAATACACCTGCGTTATCCCTTGCGTTGCTCTTGGCAGAAACATTACCAATTGTCAGGAATTCCCTATGATTCCTGCCACCTTCTCAACATATACTACTTATATCCATTGTTATCAGTAACGCCCACTACACACTAACTTTCATGTTTCAAATTCCGTTTCCTCTCATACAAGTTTATCTTTCTTGATACCACTCTTTATATTCGGTTATACTTTGTATGCTGTTGTGAAGTGTGACAACCTGAAATAGAGGAATCTCTGTGCGAGGTTCTGAGTTGATTTGTCTGATTACTGGGAACACAGGAGAAATCAGCCTTTCTCGTATAACAGTGTCATGAATATTATGTGATTTTTGTCCACCAGTGGTTGTCTTTTTATTACCAACTTCATCTGGAAGTGTGGTGTACTAACAAATTTTTAAAATGTTAACAGCAGATATTTCCTTTCCGTCTTCCTTCAATAGGACTATTTTGAATATGTCGACAAAACTTCTCTCGTGATCAGTGGATCGAGGATTCGAAGCTAGATCGAAAAGATGATCAAAGATAATATCGAAACAGAAAACTTAGAACTGATGAGCAATGAAATCGATTCTTAACTTCGATCTCAAACAGACACTTCACCCGTGTCGTCGATATATAGTGACAAGCGCAATATTGGTTCATGTGAAACATGCTACTATCAAGAAGATATGATACGCTGGTGATTAGATTAATGGTGCTAAAGGGAATGAATACGAAACCGAGGATTTCATGATTGTCGTCACCGTATAAACAGTGAATTCGATGAGATCAGTGTTTTGTTAGAAAAAAAAAAAGAAAAACACATCTTCAAATACTTCGACTGAGTGATAGTAATAAAAATTTAGTACAGATTTAATTTAGTTATCAATGTAAAAACGAAATCACGTGTAAAGGTGGTTTAATTGTGTCACAACTGTCTAGCCGTACATTAACCAATGTATGCCAGTACCCAGATAATCAGTATACTTACCTAGGTTTAAGTAATGATAACAAAAGATAGATTAGAAAACACATTACATGGTAAAAATATATTATTATTATCATTTGTTCATTGGGTCCCTAGTGAAACATACGGCTTAAATAGTAAGTCTCCATTACACTCTAACTCTCCAATCTTGAATACCTGGCTCCACCACTACTCACAACTCTCATTCATTCCTAACATCATCTCCTCCATCTCACCTTCGCCACCAACACCCAACTCGTCGTTTACCATCTACGTCCCACTCGAATGCCTCACCTGACACGTGATATCTCCAGCTGCCCTTCCCACTGCATGACCAATCCATCTCCACTTCCTTACACTGCATATTTCTTCAGCGATACCTTCTTCCTTCGTTCCTTCCTTGCCAGCCCAGAGTTCCTTCCTTCTCTTCCTTATTCTTATTATTCTCACCATCTGAGCTTCAGTAACGAGCCAGTGTAGGCAGCAGCTCTTCATCAATGTCTGTACTTCGTTGCAAATGCTTTTTGTAACGCACCACGCCTCTCAACCATCACATACAAGCACTAACTTACTTGACTGAATTGGTGTTCAAAATCCCCATGTCGTTCACGCTTTATGCTGACTGGAGAGTGCACAAGATCTCCACAATGGTTTCAGGTTAATCAACGCCTATCTTGCTGTCTTTCCGATCCTGGCTGCTTTGACGTCCTCGTCTGTGCCACCGTCACCTGTAGTTGAAACGATGCTGCCCAATTAGGTAGGTGAAAGAGGCTACTTCTTTTAAGTTTCTCCCGTTCATGCTGATTCAAGCTTCTTGTTGATGCTGTTGTTGGTTGGGTATCTTCATCACCTCTGTCTTCTGTACATCAACTTGAAGTCCTGTCTTCGCTGCCCTACATCGCCTCTTCCCTCAACTTGTTAGTTTTCGAGTTTGTGCGACAAGACATTAGACACAATTCGTCATTGGCGAAATCCAAGTTTTCCAGGTTATTTTCCTCGGTCCAGTGTATCCCCCTCTTCTCTCTCCTCATTGTTTGTTGCATGATCCAGTCCAGTCGACCACCATCAGGAATATCATGGGTGATAGTAGGTGGCAGCTTTGTCTTACTCTTTCCTGTCTTCACTTCACTTCAAAGGCATCACTGAGCTTCCCATTGTGAATTACCTGGCATGTGGCATCTTCATATAATTGTTGAATGAGATTGATAAAGGTTTGTGGCGCTGAAAGCATAATGTTGAAGCAGTTGCCTGCCAAATTACTTATCGGTCGACGTCTCGATCGAAGGCCTTTTCAAAGTGGATGAAGTTGAGGTAAGGTAAATAGTTGACTGCCATTCTATTCTCTGTTCTATGATGTTGCGTAGCGTAGCATTGCAACTTGATTCGCATATGATTTGTACCTCCTGGATCCAGCCAGCCTGTTCCAGTCGTAGTTTTGAATCCAGCGCATCCCTTAGTCTCTCCAGGAAGATACGGCATAATATTTTGCTTGGGATTGACACGGACAGGAGATTGATTCTGCACCAGTTCTTGCAAACACTTACGTCTCCCTTTTCGGGAGTTTGACAAGGTAACCCTTCTCCCAATCGTCAGGTACCTTTCGCTTCCTTCCTTCCTTCCATACCTTCTGCAATAGTGGTGTGGTGTGAGCATGTCCGCTGTTATCCCTGCGTCTGTTCTCAGTGCTTCTGGAGGATTCCATCTGGTCGTGCTGCTTTCCCACATTTCAGTAGGACTACAGTGTTCAGGACTTCGACTTTTGTTGGGTGATTTGTGTTCACTTGTAGTTTTGTGACTGGGCTGCAGGTGGTATTTCTGGACGAGTTGGAGGTGGTGGTCGATCAAGAGCTTTTTGAAGTGGTCAGTGCATCGTTTCCTTTGTTTCTCTTCTTTGGTTTCATCTATGTTGATCTCTTCCCTCCCAGATAGTAACCTAGTTATTTGATACAATGGTGTCAGCTCTTTCTTACCAGCCAGCAACCTGTTCTGTTTCACTTCCCAGTTTCGTCGATACCTCTGATTAAAACCCAGTAACCACTTCATATTTTCTACTTTTCATGGTCATTTCTGACAGGCATACAACAGGACAGAACGAAATGCTGTGCAATTTACACATCCTTTGATAGATAACTAGATAGTTGGATATCTCACCAGAGCCACAGGTGAACACACACCTACTTCAGTTGCTTTCCAGTGATAGCCATATACTCAATTGTACGCAGAATTGTATCATAATTTAGGTTTGAAAACAAACGCACACACACACACAATCACCCATCATACTGTATCATTCATATTCTTTATGCAAAAGTCTCTTAACAAATACAACATATTTTATGAACCCTGTACAGAAGGAAATAATTATCATCAAAAATAAGGCATAATGATAATATTACTACTACTAATACTATTATGAATAATAATAATAAAGTTTGTTTACAATCACAGACAAAAAAAATTAACAGAAAAAGATCGAATCAAAAAAAAGTTTCCCCTTTATCACTCATCAAATAGAAAGTGTTTATCAATATGAAAGAAGAATACCAGCAGTAAGGATGAAGAAGGAGGGCCAAAAACAGGTGGGTGTAGAAAGTGTAGTGAAACAATCAAACAGGCAGCAGGGAGGGGGGCTACCCAATGTCTTTCTCTCTGTGGAATATAGAAGCAAAGATAAAACGCTATTGCATAATATCATATCTCATCTTTTTTTTTTGTTTTATAATTTTAATTATTTATTATTGTATTGAACTGGAACAGAAAACTTATTCATTGATGCATTTGTAAGAAAGCTAATAGACTATTTGGTAAATAGGCTTGAACTGATGGATTCGATGCAGTCAATCCATAACGATTTGCTACACGAGCAGCTTGACATGCTAAAGTTACATGATTCAATATTTGTACACGAGATTCAGTGAGTACATGATGAAAACGTTGATATAGTATAGTTAATGAATTACGATTAGTAGCATCCAAATGTGCTCCACATTTAACTAGAGTTTGTATAAGTGAAGCCTATTATGAGAAAAAAAAAAATAAAATATAGTGAAAATAAACGAACTAAGAAGATATGAACAATCGATTGTCTGATATGTGGTAATTATCTACTAGACAGAGGAACTTAGGATCGATATTTCATCCTGTTTAGGACTCGTCAGATGGATGTACCCTGCACTCCACTGGAACTTGAACCTCGTAACCATCACTTCAAGCACCAGACAGTTATTGATTAGGCTGAGTCCCAAATACGACGAATCGTGAATTCCTCTGCTAATCACCAAGATCAATATAACACCATGAATACCCGATAGTACCGAGGCATCCTCATTGAAGCCGGTCTGCTAACAACAGAGAACGAGCAATTCGATAGCGACTAGTGCATATTGCACAACAGATGGCTTTCATGCCATACTAGCCCAGAAGATAACGCTTCAGCATTTGAAACCATGGGTACTACTTTCGAGTATCAGTGGGAACAACATCACTCTCCACTGGGGTCCAGGTACATTCATCTACTGAGTTCTAAAAGGGCAAAACGTCCATCCTAAATTCTCCCACTAACCACTAAGCAGATTACAACTATATTAAGTAATCGAGCCGTATCAAGGCATCTGACTGATTTAAATCACTGATTATTCCAATCTTCAAGAAAATCGAGAAGTCCTCCTCTGATAACCACAGAAAAATCACCTGACGAACATAGTGTCTAAAATTATGGGATCTATAATTCTTCGACACCTGAGTGGAGCTCAGGAACAGCAAGCTCGAGAAAACCAAGCAGGCTTTAGATCCGGCGTGAGTGTATCGACCAAACATTCACACAGCCAAGTTCTGGAACATAGGAACCCTTACCGACACCCGACAATAGCTGTATTTCTCAACCTGAAGTCCACATTTCACTCCGTTGATCCAGAAGTCTTATGGCAATGTCTCTCACTGAAAGGCATCCCGAGTAACTACATCACCTTATTATTCAAGGCTCTCTACTCGAACACTTGTCGGTGTGTTAGAGCCTATGGTAAGATGTCCAAGGAGCTATGCTCATCCAGTGGTGTCCGTCAAGGGTGCCCACTCTCTCCATTCTTATTCAATTTTATCATAGATATTCTTATGGAGGTCTCCCTCTCGTCACCTGATAGCACAAAGGTTGACCTAATCGCAAGAGAATTTTCGTTAACCTAGAATATGCAGATGACATAGTCCTGTTAGTCCTTTGAAGACGCTGACAAGATGCAGTCTTGTGAACACTTTGAGTGTGAATTTGAGAATGTTTGGGATGCGGTTCTGACCACCGAAATGCAAATTGTTGCTCCAGGATTGGTGTTTAGAAGGTGCCTTGGCTAATAATAGAGTGTAGTGGTTGAGTGTGTCAACCACCTCACTTACCTGATGAGTGAAGTGGGATCAGCCCCGGTGGCTGAGTGGTCGGTGAAATCTCTGCACGGATACAAAAAGCTCGACTGAGTTTTGCCAACTTACATCACCTTGATATCCGATCGTCTACTAAGGGTGGCGTATACTGCACAGCAGTCCGGTCTGTTCTACTGTATGGCTGTGAAACATCGCCATTGAAGGTAGAAGATATGAGAGAAAGTTTCAGGTTTTTGACCACCGTTGCGTTCGTAGCATAGGTCGTATTTCCTGATGTGTAATCAGGTGAGTAACGCAGAAATTAGATGTAAAGTTTTAGGGAGAAGACGTAAATCAGTTGAGGCGGTTATGAACCTTCATCGACTGAGATGGTTGGGACAAGCGTTACGTTACGTATGCTTAGTCACCGGCTACCTCGTCACACAATGATGGCCGAAGTAGGTTCAGGCTGGGAAAAGGCTCGAGGTGGTCACACTAAAACATGGCACCAATGCATGTAGGGCAATGTAGACTATCCGGTTGGTTGGAGACTAAACATGATTACATGGCTGAGAATCGATGTGAGTGACGCAGATGTACCCCCCACACATTATCATCTTAACGACGTTATACCGAGTCTCACCTCTCATTCATTCCTAACATCATCTCCTCCATCTCACCTTCGCCACCAACACCCAACTCGTCGTTTACCATCTACGTCCCACTCGACTGCCTCACCTGACGCGTGATGTCTCCAGCTGCCCTTCCCACTGCATGACCAATCCATCTCCACTTCCTTACACTGCATATTTCTTCAGCGATACCTCCTCCCTTCGTTCCTTCCTTCTCTTCCTTATTCTTATTATTCTCACCATCTGAGCTTCAGTAACGAGCCAGTGTAGGCAGCAGCTCTTCATCAATGTCTGTACTTCGTTGCAAATGATTTCGTAACGCGCCACGCCTCTCAACCATCACATACAAGCACTAACTTAATTGACTGAATTGGTGTTGAAAATCGAAGATGCACAGGCGAAAACTAACAAGTTGACAGAAGAGGCGAGGTAGGGCTGCGAAGATAGGACTTCAAGTTGATGTACAGAAGACAGAGGTGATGAAGATGCCCAACCAACAACAAGAAGCTCCAATCAGCATGAACGGGAGAAACTTAAAGTAAATTGTCTCTTTCACCTACTTACCTACCCACCTAACTAGGCAGCATCGTTTCAACTACAGGTGACTGTGGCACAGACGAGGACGTCAAAGCTAGTCAACATCGAAAAAGCAAGACAGGCTTCACTGAATTAACCTGAAACGATTGTGGAAATCTGCACTCAGCATAAAGCGTGAACAACATAGGGATTTTCGACACCAATTCAGTCAAGCAAGTCAGTGCTTTCATGTGATGGTTGAGAGACTTGGCACGTTACGAAAAGCATTTCCAACAAACTACAGACATTCATCAACAACTGCCACCTACACTAGGTCGTTACAGAAGATCAGATGAAATAGTGAGAAAGAATAAGCAAGAAGGAACTCTGGCAACAAACCAACGAAGCAAGAACCTATCACTCAACAAATATGCAGTGTAAGGAAGTGGAGATGGATTGGTCATGCACTGAGAAGGGCAGCTGGAGACATCACGTGTCAGGTCAGGCACTCGAGTGGAACGCAGATGGGAAACGACGAGTTGGGCGTCAGTGGCGAAGGTGAGATGGAGGAGATCATGTGAGGAAGAAATGAGAACCTCTGGGTTGTTGTGGAGCCCGGTTCAAAAGATTGCAGAGAAGAGAGTGTAATGAAGCCCTATGTTCCACTAGGAACCCTAGAGACAAATAATAATAATAATAATTACACTAATGAAATTAATTATACTATAGAATAAAAAGTATAAACATACTTACATGATCAGAACTTTTTAATCGACGTTGTGCAAGAACATGACCAATAGGACGTTGACCATCAACATCAGCACAATTAGCATCAGCTCCCAATTCAAATAATAATGATAAAACATTTACATTTGGAAAAGGACAGATAACAAAACGACCAACAGTTGAAGTTTCCGGTGAACATGCTAAATGTATAAGACTTTGTCCACGATGAACTCTAGGATCTAATTTCACTAATCTATACACCTGAACAATAAAAAAATTAAATTATCAAAATAAAAAAAAAATAACTGATCACTTGATTTCTTTAAAAGAAAAAAATAATTTTCTAATTTCAATCGTTTTTATATTATTGTTTGTGCTTTGAAGTTTCTTTAACGGTTAGATTTGTTTTACAGGATAGGGTTGCTAGCCCTATGCTCAACCTTCCCTCTTTACACGGGCTAAGGACCGGCTAGTAACTAGTGAACTAGTTAAACAGGAGAAGGAAGTGGAGATTGATTGAGCATAGACTGAGAAGGCCGACTGGGGACATCACGTGTCAGGCCAGTTGCTCGAGTGAAACCTAGATAGGAAGCGACGAGTTGGTTGTCCTAGGGTGACATGCAGGAGATCATGTGAGGAGGAAATCAGAGCTTGTGGGCTGTCGTGGAGCCAGGTTCAAAAGGTTTCAGAAAACAGAGCGCATTGGAGACGTGCTACTGGAACCCTATGTTCTATTAGGAACCTAAGGGAAAAATAATAATAAAATTTCAGTCTTTCGTAGTTATACCTCTTAACAAACTCCTAAAGATCAAAGTTATTTCATTTGCCATTCTTGTTGAAGGTCTTTGAAGTCATCTACTTGAAGTTCTATGTCGATACCATGTTCAGCTAGTGTAAGGAATAGTAAGCATAGGGTATACAGAGCATGAAACTCTGCATATCTTGTATATTCCATAGAGAATACTACTAGATTCCCCCCCTATTCAACTCAATCCTGCGACTGAACTACAGATACACCTGACTAATGCGATTTGTATGAAATTACTAGGTTACTATCTGGGAGGGAAGAGATCAACACACATGAAACCAATAAAAGATGATGAAGTAAATCGAACTACAGAAGAAGAGAAACAAAGGAAACGATGGACTGACCACTTCAAAAAGCTCTTGAATCGACCACCACCTCCAACTCGTCCAGAAATACCACCTGCAGCCCAGTCACAGAACTACAAGTGAACACAAATCACCCGACAAAAGTCGAAGTCCTGAACACTGTAGTCCTACTGAAATGTGGGAAAGCAGCACGACCAGATGGAATCCTGCCAGAAGCACTGAGAACACACGCAGGGATAACAGCGGACATGCTCACACCACACCACTATTGCAGAAGGTATGGAAGGAAGGAAGGAAGCGAAAGGTATCTGGCGATTGGGAGAAGGGTTACCTTGTCAAATTCTCAAACAAGGGAGACGTAAGTGTTTGCAAGAACTGGTGCAGAATCAATCTCCTGTCCGTGTCAATCCCAAGCAAAATATTATGCCGTATCATCCTGGAGAGACTAAGGGATGCGCTGGATTCAAAACTACGACCGGAACAGGCTGGCTGGATCCAGGAGGTACAAATCATATGCGAATCAAGTTGCAATGCTACGCTACGCAACATCATAGAACAGAGAATAGAATGGCAGTCAACTATTTACCTTACTTCAACTTCATCCACTTTGAAAAGGCCTTCGATCGAGACGTCGACCGATAAGTAATTTGGCAGGCAACTGCTTCAACACTACGCTTTCAGCGCCAAAAACTTTTATCAATCTCATTCAACAATTATATGAAGATGTCACATGCCAAGTAATTCACAATGGTTGGTTCGTTGTTGATCAAACCTGACCTCATATGGAATAGTCATTTCTTTCAGGATTTACTAATTTGTGTCATCCACTGTTCTGGTGACATATCCGAATACCCATTAAACAACCAGTAAACTATATTAGAGTTTATTCTGCATCGCATGCAACTGTGAGACGAAGGATGACATACAGAGTACAAACATTTCTATTCATCTACCGCTCAACACCGAATGATGCCCCATCAGATCGTAAATCTCCTGCGGAAGTTTAATGGGAAGGAAGTTATGTACGCCACTCCATGCAATGTTACCATCACATCGTACACAAACAACTCAAACAGTCGGATCATACTCCAATGAGGGAGACTCCGTCTACGCAGGAGGTTACAAACCAGGACATGGTATGCAGCCCCCGTTTTGCATGAAGCATTATTCAGTGACTTTAAGGGCAACTCTAGCAACAAATCAAACGACCAATTATGTTTCTTCATTTCGGTTAGAAAGGAGATTCTTGTAAAACAAAGAAATCTGATTGGCTGTTTCAATTGTTGCTAAGGTGGCGTTATGAGTCATCTGCATTATTATTGATCTGAACTTTTTTTTGACTTGTCTATTTTCACACTATTTTTTACAGCATGACTAAGTAGTTTATTTCCTACCCTCATTTTCAAGGAAATTCGCTGATTGGTTAATCCTTACTCCTACATTATCAGTATCCCAGTTTGCCGACAAGGTCATATCTCACGTATATATATACTAACACGCTTTTGGGTTAATTGCGTATTATTCTCAGAGGAATAAATCCTCCCGTCCAGCTTCGGTCTTCTTTCTTTATTCGTCCCTGGTTGTGGTCGGTGAGTCTTGCGTACGCTGTTAGCTATCAGCTGGGCGTGAGTATTATATCCGTTCGGAAAGCATAACAATATACACCCTACAAACATTTCTATCACAGATATCCTCGTAATATCACCCGCCATGGTGGTGGAATCAATATATTTATAGTCTTGCACATGCCGAGCTACGACTAACTCGACATGATATGCTGGAAAAAGTTGAAAGAGGGTTCACATGGGGTCAGACCAATAACTGGCACCAACCCATGAAGTTTCTAAATGTTTTTCTGAGCTGCGTAGGCAAATGTAGACCATTTGGGTCCTCTAAAAAAATAAGAATCAGTAGTTGAGGACTCTGGATGAAAATTAGTTAAAATGGTGGAGATGTATTGACGCTTCGGTATCTTCTTCCGCTTGAATGTTCCGACCTAGCTTCATTTTGAAATTCGTCCAATAGTTGAATTGTGCCAAGGGGGAGATTTAATGTGACAACACAAATTGTTTATGAACACACGCAAAAGGTGGTTGTCAACCTCCTAATAGCTAATGCTGCAACCAATTTAAGGATCCCTCCCAAACATGTTTTGTAAATAAGTGTAAAGGAAGTAGCCATTATCAATCTTGTGACCTGTCTCAACGATATGTTTGGCGAACGAAGAACTTGGACGTTTGCTACTAACATTTATGGGTTGAGGTGATTTAATTTGCTTCTGAAACCACTTTGGAATATGTTCTGAGGCCTTTACTTGCATGGATCTATGAGTCCTCCCTATGTATGTGTCACCACATGTATATTTGAATTGGTAGATACAGTGGGATGTGACATTGTCGTTCACATCCTGTGGGGGTTTGGGGGAATATACGGGCTTCGTGGTTTCGATTACTCAAACCCTGGCTACATAGTAAGTACTTCTATCAGCAGCGTTAAGTCTCTGCATAAGGATTCCACTATGAGAGTCACCTTTGTACAGAAGGCTGATGAAAACGTCCTTCTTTGGGACAGACTAAAGTTCTAGTTTTGGCGCTCTGCTGATTTTGTTCTGACTGATAAATATTGATGGATAGTTATTTTCCAATAGAATATCAGTCAGTGTTCCTCTTTCATCTTCTAAAGTATCCTCTGTGTATATTCGTTGAATTCTGTTGAATAAGCACCTTACTAATGTTTGCTTGTACTGAACTGGGCAAAAGCTATGGTAATTCAGATATTGCCCTGTCTATTTAGGTTTTCTGTAGATAGATCGTTTTATGGATCCATCCTGCCTTCGACTAATGGACTTGGTCTATTAAGTTCTCCACATGTTACATAAATAATGTCAGCTAGGAGGGGACCTAAAGGACTTCCCATAGCGACACCATCAACCTGGAGGAAATGTTCACCCTCAAAGCTGAATTTAATATTGTTTGTACATAAAAGTAACAGTTGTTTTAGGTGATCCAAAGAAATGGGTATCGAAAACTTATGCACAGAAATATAACCACATAAAATGTCGATTGTCTTGACCAAAGGGATATTGGTGAATGGATGAGATAACATCAAATGAACACATAAATTTATTCTTTATGTTGACATGCTCAAAGCAAATACATTACATGGTTCAAAAAATTTACATCTTCTTATTGTTTTGTCGAAGTTTATAAAGGGAACTAATTGTTTTAAATTTAAGAGCTTACTCTTGGTGATATTATTGCGCTAAAGCTCCCCATAGATTATTATTCAGAAGAAGAATTCGAATGAGCAGTATTGTATCCAATCACTTCGTCTTCTCCTTCTTCTTCAGACGCTACTACTCAGTTATAAACCCATGAGAATAAGTGAAATACAATAGGTCAATATAAGGCATCATGTACAATTATTACTTTATTATGAAACAGTCAGCCAGTATAATTGTTTTTATATGATATCGTCGTTGATTGGACCGAATTGATCGGTGTCTATTGGTATATAGGCTCCTGTGCGGATACTTCGATATTGTGCTAGCGTTCTAATTATGTTAATGATGGATCGTGGTTAGCAGTGGAATCCAGGATGTGCGCATTTCGTCCTATTTGTGACTCACTAGTCAGCTGGATGTACTTGCTTCCCAGTGAGTGATGTTGTTCACACCGGGATTCGAACTCGGGAGCGATCGCTTCAAACGCCAGTGTTACATTTGGTGTATGGAGATCAAATAGAATGGAATGGTGGAATGTTAATCAGTTTAGTGTGATAATTGTCTAATGAAATCAAGTGTTATTGATACTGGGGTGATGATTGAAGGTGAAATGAGAATTTGAACTGTAACCGGATTAGAACCAGTGACCAACGTGTACCCTGCTTGATGCCCCACCAACTGAGCAATGAGGTCCAACTGCAGACCAGATTTTTAATTCGCTTCAATCACCAATCATGTAAATTCGTAACAGGTTACTACCTCTTGACCGTATTTACACTGGCCTTCTCATCCCAATCCAAATGTAACCAAATTAGAATGAGAAGGAAAGGGGGGGAGCATTATACTGATTATCATTTTGACTATCTGAGATAACAGTCGTGGTTTAGCAGATTAGTATTTATACTGTGTAATGATTGAAGGTGACATAAAAATTTCTACCGCGGTTCAAATTCGAACCAGCAACCACCGGAGTTTTCGGCGTGATGCCTCTGAGCTACGAGGTCCGACTGTTGATCGGATTTTTATTTCATTTCAATCACGAAATGGAGGATAACAAATGTGAAGTGTTACGTTATGGTTGATAATGACTACCAGTAATGGCATGAATAAAAAAAGGGCGTAAAACTAATAACATAAGAAAATGAATATTTATCAATGCAATGACAATATAGAAGAAAGGGATAGGAGGTTGAAATGTGTAAGTTGTGATAGGAAAATTCATAAACAGCATGTTGATGACCCTGTTGCGAGCCAAGGTAGACAAAGTGTATGTACATATATCTTTTGGCTTCGACTATGGATAAGATGCATAGTCGTGTACCTTTAGAGAGATTCAAAGGGACACGATATATCATAGAAAAGGCATGATCTAACTTGATCTGATTTCTGGTATCTACTAGATGTGAGAGGATAACACTTTGATAAATATTCATTTTCTTATGTTATTGACCTTATGCCCATCTTTATTTATACCACAACCGGTAGTGATTTTCAACCGCGACGTAACACTTTACATTTGTTATTCTCTACTTCAAGTTGTTATTCATCGTAGACTGACATCAGCTGCAGGAACAAAGGAAACTTGGAGGCACAAGACAGCTGTTTCGTTCTAGTAAGGGACTCCTCGTCAGTGCGCACCCACGACCCCGACAGGGATCGACACCACGACCTTCCTTATAGTATGGTATCCACATGATTTTCACCCCCTCCTTGATCATTTGACTTTTAGTAAACTAACATGCACACATTCATGCCCCAGTGAATGTGCATAAATGAATCATTATTTCGTAACCAAGTTGGTAGAACATCAAGCAGGGTACCCGTTGGTCACTGGTTCTAATCCGGTTGCAGTTCAAATTCTCATTTCACCTTCAATCATCACCCCAGTATCAATAACACTTGATTTCATTAGACAGTTATCACACTAAACTGATTAACATTCCACCATTCCATTCTATTTGATCTCCATACACCAAATGTAACACTGGCGTTTGAAGCGATCGCTCCCGAGTTCGAATCCCGGTGTGAACAGCATCACTCACTGAGAAGCAAGTACATCCAGCTGACTAGTGAGTCACAAATAGGACGAAATGCGCACATCCTGGATTCCACTGCTAACCACGATCCATCATTAACATAATTAGAACGCTAGCACAATATCGAAGTATCCACACAGGAGCCCATATGCCAATAGACACCGATCAATTCGGTCCAATCAACGACGATATCATATAAAAACAATTATACTGGCTGACTGTTTCATAATAAAGTATAATTGTACATGATGCCTTATATTGACCTATTGTATTTCACTTATTCTCATGGGTTTATAACTGAGTAGTAGCGTCTGAAGAAGAAGGAGAAGACGAAGCGATTGGAAACAATACTGTCCACTCAAATTATTTATATATTTTTTTGAAGCTTTTAACATTCTCACCTTCTAGTGTACGGATCTCGCATGTTAGCGATGTCTAATTCCCCCTCCCTATCCTCAAAAGAATATTGAAATATGTACATATGATCATAAAAAGTTTAAACTTTACTTTCGCGCCTTTTTTACTTTACGCCATGTTACTTATTTGTTACTGCGGAGGTTTAAAATAAGCAAACGCTGATTGGTTCATTTTACACCTTGAATATTCTATTTTCTATTGCAAGTTGTTATTCATCGTAGACTGGCATCAGTTGGGAGGAACAAAGGAAACCTGGGAGCGCTGGACAGCTGTTTCGTCCTAGTATAGGACTCCTCAGCAGTGCGCACCCGCGACCTTCGGGTTCCGCGGCCAGCACGTTACCCTTGAGCCGTTGGGTCAGAATCTAATGATCCATATTTCCAACTTCTGTAAGCTTACGATTTTTTATCCTTTCATCTTTTGACTATCAGAGATAGCAGCTATGGTTTAGCAGACTAGCATTTATACTAAGTAATGATTAAAGGTGAAGTGACAATTTGGACCACTACCGAACTCAACCTCGGTGGTGGCTGGTTCGACTCCGGCTGTGGTCTCAATTTCCATTTCTCTTTTAATCAACAATCAGTATAACTGGTTTATCTTCCCTAGTCAAAGCACATTGACTGAGTTTTTCATCTATAATTACACTATTCAGTTGAAGTAAATATACTTTCAATGCCAACGTCTTCTTCTTCTGGTGTCAGTTGAATATCCTATTGAGAAGTCAGTTGTTAATTGTATTGCATCAGAGCATTATATTCTTCATAAATACACCAAAGATGAAAAATACTTCCGATATGACTCGGTTTCGACTGTCTGAACATCACCGCCCCACCCCCATCCCATCATCCCTCGCTTATTTTTCTCCTTTGTTCTTTCAACTTTGTGTATTTTAAAAATTATATGAGTCGTTGTATAAATTTTCTTTTACATAATTAAAAGGTAACCATCATATAGAGATTTTTTTTTTCGTGACTTACTTGACGAAAAAATCTTTGACGTAGTTCAGGTGACATTCGTTTTCTCATTTCATTTGATAAACTATTACTTCCAGTGTTACTAATACCATTGTTCGATTCCTCAATTATTATTATTATTGCTGGAGTCTAGTAGACTTGGTATACCTATTGTTGATAGATTAGAAGTATGATTTTGTATTGAGTCATTGAAATGTTCATTGACTACTTGAGTTAAATTGATTAATTCACGTCGGATAGGTCGAAGAGTTGGCAAAGCTTTACTATTTGGTACATAATGGATTAAAATCATAGCTATAAAATGTAGACATAAGGATACATGACGCATTAAATTGATTGCTTCTTTATCCGCTGCTGTATACGACCATGGATGTCTATGATGCCAATGATAAAAGGAATAATCCATTCCTCTGTTGATCAATAAGCATAGAAAAAGTAGAGGGGGGGGGAGGGAGAAGAAAACAATAAACACAAGATGATGATTATTTATTGAACAATAATACACACGCATGGATAAGATTGTTCTTTATTATTCTGGTATTTCTATCTTGTAGTAAAGAGTAAAACAAAACAGAGGTTGAGTAGGTGGGTGAGGGACGCCGGCTTACAAATACCACTTATTATTATTATTATTTGTCCCTTGGGTTCCTAGTAGAATATACGACTTCACTAGCACATCTCCATTACACTCTCTTCTCTGAAATCTTTTGAACGACAGTCCACAAGCTCTCATTTCTTCCTTACACCATCTCTCCCTCACCTCGGATACCCAACTCGTCGTTTCCCATCTGCGTTCCACTCGAGTGCCTGGCCTGACACGTGATGTCACCAACCGGTCTTCTCAGTACATGCCTAATCCATCTCCACTTCCTTACACTGCATATTTGTTAAGTGATAGGTTCTTGCTTCGTTGGTTTGTTGCCAGAGTTCCTTACTGTTTATTCTTGTTATTCTGGCCATCTGAGCTTCAGTAATGAGCCAGTGTAGGCAGCAGTTCTTGATGAATGTCTGTAGTTTGTTGTAAATGCTTTTCGTAACGCGCAAAGTCTCTCAACTATGATATAGAAACATTGACTTACTTAGTGTTGAAAATCTGGGTGTTGTTCACGCTATATGCTGAGTGCAGTAGATTTCAACAGATTAATGGAAGCCTGTCTTGTTGTCTTTCCGATCCTGGCTTTGACGTCCCCATCTGTGCCTGTGCCGCCTGTAGTTGAAACGATGCTGCCTATGTAGGTGGATAGGTGGAAGAGACTACTTCCCTTAGCTTTCTCCTGTTGATGGTGATTGGAGCTTGCTGGTGGTGGTGGTGTTGGTTGGGTATCATCATCACCTTTGTCTTCTCTACGTTCACTTGAAGCCCCGCCTTCGCTGCCCTGCCTCGCCTCTTCTGTCAACTTGTTGGTTTTCGCCTGTAGATCTTCGAGTTGGTGTGACACTAGACATAAATCATCATTGTTGTCGAAATCCAAATCTTTTAGGATCTTTCCGCCGACATAACGTATGCCGATCTTCTCGCTCCTCACAGTTTGTTGCATGATCCAGTCCAGTCGACCACAATCAGGAAGATCATGTGTGATAGTAAACAGCCTTGTCTTACTCCTGTCTTCACTTCACTTCAAAGGCATCACTGAGCTTCCCATTGTGAATTACTTGGCATGTGGCGTCTTCATATAGCTGTTGAATGAGGCAATCAATTAATAAATAATCCCTATAAACCGCAAAATTGAACTATTTTCCACTGATCATTAGTAAGTAACTTGTTTCAAGATACGATTTCCTGATATTCTAATGACAAGTCGTAATCAACAAGGCAAACCATGGCAACTGTGAACTATTCGATCCTAATCCACTGGCTTAATAACAATCAATACTGAGTTATCATTCAGAGTAAAATAATCGTCCAACGCGGTTTGATTTCCAATGACTGATTTGAGTCCATGTCCAGCAGAGACACTATCATTCACTGACGAATTCTGAATAGGAATAAACGCGTGTCCTGGATTCCACAGCTGGCCTCCAAGTAAACTACTATATAATGAATATTCAGGCAGTATCGAGGCATGCGCAAAGCAGCCTATCTACTAGTAGAGGTCAACAAGCCGTGATAGACGGGGAAAACCAAGTCGGTTATGAAGACAAGTATTCAACAGCATTCGATGAAGATCACTTTATATCGGAAACTGCACACCATTCGATCCCGACCCAGTGTTAATTTGCCCGTTGTGGAATCTTAGCCTCCTGTGTTCGATTCTTGACGAGAATAGTAATAGATGTACACTGTTGAGGAGGGGGTAATACTACAACGAAAGTGCTCCAAGGTTTCCAAGGGTTCTCCAACTCATGTCAACCCGTAATGAATATCAAATCTTAAATTGACTGCAGTTTCATGAAGTTGTACGTAAATCTGTGCATCTATTCGTCTATCTTCCTATCGAAATACGATCAACAACCTTGTGCAGTAGATAATAAGCCATATCTAATCATAACCAGCTAAATACCCACACCTTGGTAAGTGGAGTGGGGTTCGAACACGCGAACTGTCGACTGAAAGTCAACTCTCTTAACCAATGTAAAGAGTTTAACATAAGTAGGGTTGTGTCAGAGCGAAGCACGTGGTTGCTCCAGAGTGACCTAAGAAGCCTTATTCATTCTTCCAGTTTGCCGATAACTAAATAAAGAGTTAACATCCTGAATGTCATGAACTTATAGAATGATAGGGGTAGGACAAGGGGAGGGGGGGAGAATAGATAAAGCCACAAATTTACTCCCATTATCATCACTACCCAATAAAGATAATCGTAAGACAATAACCTGTGCACAATAGATAAGAAGAAAATAACCCCTTTGATACTTTGGCTGAATTCATTACTTGAACTTCCTTATTGTCCTGAATTATTATGCTTTCGTGATCTTTGAAACTAAGCTGACCGGTATGTTAGCGTTTGTAATTGATTTATTCAGACTGTATGCAGCTGAAGTAAAGTCTATGGAATAAACGACATCATCTTATCCTACAAAGAATATTCTCATTGTGTTATACATGGACTATCATAAAGGTGATTGCATATATGAAATAGGCATAAATATAAGGCGACATGGTTAAATATTGGGCTACCAAAACTCTTTCCATCGATTATATTTCATCAAATTCTTCCGTAATTGCTTTAAACGTATTACGCCATTGAGTCACCGTGGTCTTTCTTTATGCGATGAATATAGTTTCTATGTGATTGGTTACAATTTCCCATCGTTGACTAGATGAAATTAATTACTCTCTGTTGATATATGAACTTCTGGACCAAATGTTGGATATTGCCTTTTTTTTAGTAGGTGTTATTGTTCAAGTGAAGTTGTTAGTTGAAATTCAATGTTTTAATGTTCAATGAATCAGTAGTACAAATTAGAACAGTAAACATGCATTAAGTAATATTTCATTTATTGGAAACAGAAGTTATTTAGTGGGAATTGTACAGAAATAAATAGATAAGTAAGACTGAATGAAATCATGATAAACTTTATTAAATGTCGAGGTAGCGCACGTTAAGAGAGGGATTTCCAACAAACTACAGACATTTATCAACAACTGCCGCCTACGCTGACTCGTTACTGAAGCTCAGCTGGCCAGAATAATAAGAATAAGCAACAAGGAACTCTGGCTGACTGGCAACAAACCAACCAATAACCTATCATTCAATAAGTATGCACTGGAAGAAAGTGGAGATGGATTGGGCATGCACTGAGAAGACCATTCGGGGACATCACGCGTCAGGCCAGGCACTCGAGTGGAACCCAGATGGAGAACGGCGAGTTGGGTGTCCGAGGTGAGGGTGACATGGAGGAGATCGTGCAAGGAAGACATGAGAGTTATTGGGCTGTCGTGGGGCCAGGTTGAAAAGATCACAGAGAAGAGTGTAATGCAGACGTGCTAGTGAAGCCGTGTGTTCTATACTAGGAACTCAAAGGACAAATAGGTATCTAATCTAGTTGCGCTGTAATCAACTGCATATAGCAGCGATTGTAGTGTAACTAGATAAAGAGACTTTTTCGCTCCTTCGGATTGAATTACTGTCCAGTTCTCATAGGCGAGTAACTTGTTACAGGATGAAATTTCCAAGAGTTTTAATGAGGAAGCGGTAACTGTGGAATGAACCAAGTCGAATATAAGGTCACGCTATATCACTCAGCATCAAGAACAAGATTCAGATTTTCAACACCTAGTCAGTCAAGTCAGTGCTTCTATGTGATGGTTGAGAGACTTGAGGCATCACGAATAGCATTTCCAACAAACTACAGATATTCATCAACAACTGCCTGCACTCGTTACCGAAGATCGGATGAGATAGCCAGAAAGAATAAGCGACAAGGAATTCATTATATTAATGTTGGATCGTGGCTGGCAGTGAAATCCAAGATGCTCGTTTCGTCCTAATTGGGACTCGTCAGCTGGATGTACCTGCTTCCCAATAAGTGATGTTATTCTCACCGGGATTCGAACTCGGGAGCGACCGCTTCAAACGCCAGAGCGTTATCCACTACACCACCGAGCCACTTATTGTGCGATGAGTATAGTTCTTAGTATATAATTGCTTTTATATGATATCGTCGTTGATTGGACCGAATTGATCGGTCTCTATTGGCATATGGGCTCTTGTGCGGATGCCTCGATATTGCCAACGTTCTAATTATATCCCAAATAGGACGAAATGCGCACATCCTGGATTCCACTGCTAACCACGATCCATCATTAACATAATTAGAACGCTAGCGATATCGAGGCATCCGCACAGCAGCCCATATACCGATAGACACCGATCAATTCGATCCGATCAACGACGGTATCATATAAAAACAATTATACTAACAAGAAACTATGGCTGGGAACGAACCAACCAATAACCTATCACTCAACAAATATGCAGTGTAAGGAAGTGGAGATGGATTGGTCATGCAGTGGGAAGGGCAGCTGGGGACATCACGTGCCAGGCCAGGCACTCAAGTGGAACTCAGATGGAGAACGACGAGTTGGGTGTCCGAGGTGAGGGTGACATGGAGGAGATCGTGAGAGGAAGACATGAGAGTTATTGGGCTGTCGTGGAGCCAGGTTGAAAAGATCGCAGAGAAGAGAGTGTAATGAAGACGTGCTAGTAAAGCCGTATGTTCTACTAAGAACCCAAGGGACAAATAGATAATATCATGAATTGACAGAAATATGGAAATGTACATCACTATATTCTCTATTCCAGAGATTCAATGATAATGAGCTTTCTGCAAAATCTGTAAAACCCTGAACTTCATCCATGTCACGGTGGAATCGTGGGTTACGCTGCTATGGAGTCGTATACCGAATTTATCGACTCCTATACATTATCACTACAATAATCTATGCAAAGTAGATAAAAGAAAATAATAATAAAAAGAACAACTTTTCTCCGAGAAGAACAACACCTACCGTTCAATATTATCGATAGCCATTTCTAAACAATCAACAATTAGTGCTGGATTCAAATCAACAGCTGGTAAACCGATATAATTATTAGTTAGTACAAAATGGAATAATTCAGCAAAGCTAACAAATGCAGCCTGTGAAACATGACATAATGGTTCAAGAAAAGTTCGTTGTAACTCTAATGCATAACGCCATAAACTAAGACATTGATGAAAGTTATCAGCATCTGCATAGATTGCTCCACGATAACTACAATAGAATAAACATGAAATATAAAATATGATAATAATTTTTCAAGATTAATTTACTGTTGTTGTTGTTTTTTGATTCCACATTTATCGATTTATACAGAAATGATTTCAGAGAAAGGTTACTTAAAAACTTAGAATTTGGTTTTAGTTACTTACATTTATTTCCCTGTAACCTATCCATCCATCCAACCAGATCAACCTAGGTTCAGGTATATTACTGCATAACGGTCGGATTTCAATCAAAAGAAATATGAAGTACTCAACGAGAGGGAGACAGAGGAATAATGAGAAAATGGTGAGATTCGGTGGAGCGGATAGATATTGTGTATAGGGATACATCTGCGCCACTGACATACATCCTCAGCCATGTGATCACTTAGAGTCTCCAACCACTGGTTCCTTTCGTCCCGTGGACCCCAACCACCTAGTCTGCATCGCCCCTCTACATCGCTCAAACCAACAGTGATACCATGTTTTAGTCTGACCACCTCGAACCTTTTTCCAACCTGAACCTACTTCGGCCATCATTGTGTGATGAGGCAATCGGTGACTAAGCATAAGTAATACATGTCCTAACCATCTCACTCGATGAAGGTTCACAACCTCATCAACCGACTTACCTATTCCCCCTAAAACTCTATACCTGACTTCTTCCTTACTCATGTGGTTACACCATGGAATACGGCCTATACTACAAAGGCAACAATGGTCAAACACTTGAAGCCAGCCTTCTCATGTCTTCCACCTTCAACAGTCATGTTTCACAGCCATACAGTAGAACAGACCGGACCGATAGCTGCTACCTTGACGTGGTGGTTGACCTTGCATATCACAATGATGCAACGAACTATGCTGGTGGTCCTAACATACAAGAAACGTCTGTTGGATAGTGGTTAGACGAAAAGCAGTTACCGTTATAGTGTAAATTACTACACTATGATGGCGGTATGAGGGCGAAGTTGTACTGCTGTTAGCTGGATGGGGTGTGACAGCAGTATGGTGTTTCCCTTGAATGACCAGCGGTGCCATGCTGATGCTGCCTTCCCAGTGGAAGCGGGGGCGGGGGGGGGGTTAGAAAAGGTTGGCCCCAAAAATAACACACTCCACCATACCCCACGGTCTGCCGGACTGGCGCTGTTAGTTCGTTTGTCGTTTCTTTTCGACAATCCGGCTTCAAAAATACAACAGTTCAAAATAATCATACACCAAAGGCTGCGTATGACAGACCTCAAGCAGATGTACGATGGGCTATGCGGTCACACAAATCTCTTTTAGGTAACTTTAAGAATAAATAGCCTTCCAAGGTGTGGGCAGCCGGGAAGTATTAATCGCCCTCACAACTCTGTCAGTACTCAAGTTTCCTCAGACTGCTATCCACTCCCCCCCCCTCATTACCTTCTAATCTTCCTATATGTCTCTCAATTAACAAACTAGATCATCTTTAATTTCTCTTAGCTCTGCAGCTGTAACCCGTCGGATCCAACCGATAACAAGGGAAACGGATCCTAACACAAGAACTTGATTCCCACTTGAATATCAAAGTATATAGTCATATAATGTGTATATACAATAAACTTATGATCTGCTGATAAGCATAAACACCTCGAGTTGTATATTTTCTGCATAGTTCTATTGCTGTCTGGATTTCAATCTCTCGATGACAAGCTTTCAACAGCATTCAAGGTGTAATACAATAGGCCAAAATAAGACATAATATACAATTATTACTATATTGAAATAGGAATAACAAAGAGCATCAGATCAAGGTAGATTATGCCTTGAAATCTCCCTAAAGGTACACGACTTTGCATCTTATCCATAGCCAAAACCATAGGGATCAACGTAAGAAAACCGGACCTATGTGTTCATAAGAAATAAATATATATCCAGTTTATTTACCTTGACCCACGTTCTTTATGAACTTTCCTATCACAAATTGCACATTTTAACCTCCCATCCCTTTCTTCTATATTTTCATTACATTGATATTGCTGAAGAAATCCTCAGGAAACGACTGTAGAAATCCTTAAGTAGAACATACTTTGCCGCCAATCTTCAAATTAGTTTCTCCTGCAAAAAACGTTTTAGTCAATGTATGAAAGACAAGGGACGGAATTGTGTTAAATCAATGTGTGTATACCAGTTTACTTGCTCTTCTGGAGATGAGTACATTGGCCGTACCATCTGTCCGCTTGTAAAACGTGCCTACGAACACTACCCAGGCTGGCTGACAAAGGGACAACGGAAATGTATCTTCAGTTCAATAACAGAACATTTCGTGAAGTCAAGTCACACAGCTCCTTTTGACAACTCATTCCAAATTCTCTACACGGTTCGATCAAACCACTCGAAGGGAGTAAGATTATGGCATTTGTCTATAGCTGAACCACTCACTAGTCATCCAAAAGTTCAAACCAACGTTATGCGTCGAAAAAGGTACGTTCAACCTTTATCTTTACCATGGCCGTCATAAAGCTTTGACTGGCATAGATTCAACCTGTATTAGGTAACTATGCACGTATTCCTATAATCTCTTGTCTATTTTCCCACTTTAAACCTAAATGTGTAGATACTCAGTATATTTTGACCCCTAACCGAATATAATTTTGGAATGATCTGCCCACTGTAACATATATTCACGAATGTACAGCTTAGTAGCAAATGACTTGGTCGAAAAGAGAAATTTTCGTTCGTTGCAACTACGTCTTGAGTTTTCCTATGTTATTGATCTTATACATATCTTTATTCATATTACTAATGGTAGTCCTTTTCATCCATGACGTAACACTTCACATTTGTTATTGCCTATTTTGTTATCCTATTCACATGATTTTCACCCCCTTCATCATTTTGACCCTTGATAAAACAACATACACACACACACAAATTCGAAGGGAAATCATTCCACAAACAAGACTTTCCTGAAAACTATATCACATTTACGACTGTGAACGTTTTCCAGTGTTCATGAATTAAAATTAACCATAATCCTAGTAAACACACTGGAAAAAGCACCAGTTACCTAATAATGCATAAATAAGATATGAAAATGTATTAGGCTGTTGTTTTGATAAGCAACATCTTTCTCTAATAAAAGTCGAACATGAGGACAATTACTCAACAACGGCGGCTTTGGATGGACGACACGCTACACATCATGAAGTGACAGAAGTAATAAATGTGGACGATTGGCTCAGTACGTTATGAGTTCCAACCCTCGTGGGGTCATGAACACGCACTACAAAAGAGTCCCAAAACTACGACGTAATAACTTCTGTTCCGTAGTTCCAGGCTTCCAATGTTCCTCCAAATGATCTCAGCCCACGACGAATTTCAAGCGCAGCGGCGTTCCTACCCATGACTCAATGAGGGACATTCATCTTTGGACGTTAAATGCCTAAACCACTGAGTTATACATTCACATTATATTCATCAACAAAGTTTTCTCAATTCAGTCATGCTACCACAATACATTTATCTCGAAAGGAAAATTAACTTGAAAGACTTTCACGTAACTATAGTAACAAGCTAATTTTCTTTACATGATTGAGTGGCAAATGTGCATCATCGCAGATGGTGTGTAACTATTCGCATAGCCAGAGATTAGAATATTCGAAGAATAAGGACAAATTCAAGCATCGTTATGCTGGAGTGTACTGTTAGTCATCGCAACCAATCCAGGTAAACTACAACGTAATGGATGGTATCAACACCAACCCCTGAGTATAGGAGCCCATCTGTCAATTGAAATCCACCAATTCGATCATGAACGGCGATGGGAAATAGCAAATACATTGAATATTCCCATTTAGAAAAAAGACTGATTGAGTGGGCGAAGAAATCTATACCTTTTCTATTAGGCACTTCATCTTCAGCACTCTACACTAATATGCATAGTTTTATCATTTTAATCACATGGTGATGTTTTACACATAATGATGTAAACAGTCAATTGAGTTACTTGAATGGAATGATTTTTGATGAGTGTTCAGTCATTCACAATAAGTGATTACGTGACAGTGACAAAACATATGAATATTGATAGAAACAAGGCGGCGGCGGGGGGGGCGTGGACCAGGAGAGGTTTACCAAGTAATCCTAGAAGTTATATCATGTTGACGGTCATAGTAATGAAAGTGGTCGAACAAACTTCTTTTGAATACAAAGATTAGGTTTGTTTGGATTGATTAGTCATGGGAGTGGAGACCGAATCCTATCGACCATATTTGCAGTGTGGCAACCAACCTAGGAAGCTGAGTATCACAGTACACATTAGTAGATGTTAGTTGGTTGGAGGCAATTGGCAGGAAACCCTGACTCACCTAGATTTCGTGTTTTTGGCCACTCGTCAGCAAGGCATATCTCCAACCTCAACGGAATTGATGTCCCATCTGAGATTGGAACCCACGTCACCCAGTGTTGTTTGTTTGTCAAGGTGGATTGCAATCGCCTCTACTATGTGAAGTAACTGACTATGAATCTGACTGAGATAAAGTTTTCAGGTTATGATGATATGGAGTAATGATCGATGTAAACTGAGTGAGTGAATAACTGAATCGATCAGAAAAGCTTTCCTCCAGTTGTGCGAGAAAGGTGGAATAAAAATAGGGTGGAGAAATTTAGTTCGTCTATAAGCAACTTCTGTATTGGTCCGGTCTTTGTGAGAAGGAAAACCCTTTCGCACAACTTGTATCTTCTCGAATTACATTTCATGACCTGAATATAGGGGATGAACGGAGATAGCAGAGCATTTTTCAAGTTTTACTAGATCATAGGAATTTTTTGGTGGTTTCTTGGAGTCTCAACCGTGTTTGGCTAGACGTGCTAGTAGTTGACATGATGTTTCCAATATATATGGTATCGCATTCACTACAGTCTATCTTATAGACACAGTTCTGTTGTTCCAAATGAGGAATCGGATCTTTTAATTTACACAGGTGTCAGTGTAATGTGTTCATCATGTTAAAGAATACTCTGATGTTGTAACTATTAAGGAAACGTCTGATTTCCTGCAATGTGGATGTTCGATAAGGAAGTACTGTAGTACTTATCCAATCTTTATGGCTTAGTTTTTCCGTATCTTTTTTCGGTCCTTTTTATTACCTTTTCCGGATAGCTGTTTACTTTTAAGATCTCCCAAACAAGTTGCCCATCGGTTTGCTGAGATTCCACTTTATTTGATACCCTTTGTGATCTCATCAACAGATTTTTGGCAATGTTTAACTTAGTTTCAAATGAATGAACCGATTCGAAGTCAAGGTACTTGTTAGAATGTGTATCTTAAAGCAGATTTAATGTTACAAGTAATGATTTTCTAAGTCAATCTCAATACAGATAGCTTATCTGGATTGAACTAATCAGATTCCTACAAATAAATGTCCCTAATCCAATAGGAAAGTATCTTCGGCACACAGAGGAATCGGCTAATCATTTTTCTCATGATATAGCACAACTGCCACTCAATGCCATCGTTGAGTAACAGTCCTCACGACCATCAGGTTATAAGTGATGTCAGTCTACGATAAATAACAAACTTGGAATATTTCCAAATCTCCACAACTCCCTCAATAATCATTTTTCATCCTAAATAAATTAGGGAAGAGAAGTGTGCTGGGTAATGACTGTCAAGCCATTATTATTACCATCATTACTCATTTATGTATTATATATATATATATATATATTATATATTATCTGACGTTCAAATATTCATCCTTCGAAACAAGTAAATCCATTGCTTTTCATCCCTGATAACTCACAACCCCATTGTACTGTTCATAGACGAACTAAATTTCTCCACCCTATTTTTATTCCACCTTTCTCGCACAACTGGAGGAAAGCTTTTCTGATCGATTCAGTTATTCACTCACTCAGTTTACATCGATCATTACTCCATATCATCATAACCTGAAAACTTTATCTCAGTCAGATTCATAGTCAGTTACTTCACATAGTAGAGGCGATTGCAATCCACCTTGACAAACAAACAACACTGGGTGACGTGGGTTCCAATCTCAGATGGGACATCAATTCCGTTGAGGTTGGAGATATGCCTTGCTGACGAGTGGCCAAAAACACGAAATCTAGGTGAGTCAGGGTTTCCTGCCAATTGCCTCCAACCAACTAACATCTACTAATGTGTACTGTGATACTCAGCTTCCTAGGTTGGTTGCCACACTGCAAATATGGTCGATAGGATTCGGTCTCCACTCCCATGACTAATCAATCCAAACAAACCTAATCTTTGTATTCAAAAGAAGTTTGTTCGACCACTTTCATTATATTACTATGACCGTCAACATGATATAACTTCTAGGATTACTTGGTAAACCTCTCCTGGTCCACGCCCCCCCCCCCGCCGCCGCCTTGTTTCTATCAATATTCATATGTTTTGTCACTGTCACGTAATCACTTATTGTGAATGACTGAACACTCATCAAAAATCATTCCATTCAAGTAACTCAATTGACTGTTTACATCATTATGTGTAAAACATCACCATGTGATTAAAATGATAAAACTATGCATATTAGTGTAGAGTGCTGAAGATGAAGTGCCTAATAGAAAAGGTATAGATTTGTTCGTCCACTCAATCAGTCTTTTTTCTAAATGGGAATATTCAATGTATTTGCTATTTCCCATCGCCGTTCATGATCGAATTGGTGGATTTCAATTGACAGATGGGCTCCTATACTCAGGGGTTGGTGTTGATACCATCCATTACGTTGTAGTTTACCTGGGATTGGTTGCGATGACTAACAGTACACTCCAGCATAACGATGCTTGAATTTGTCCTTATTCTTCGAATATTCTAATCTCTGGCTATGCGAATAGTTACACACCATCTGCGATGATGCACATTTGCCACTCAATCATGTAAAGAAAATTAGCTTGTTACTATAGTTACGTGAAAGTCTTTCAAGTTAATTTTCCTTTCGAGATAAATGTATTGTGGTAGCATGACTGAATTGAGAAAACTTTGTTGATGAATATAATGTGAATGTATAACTCAGTGGTTTAGGCATTCAACTTCAAAACCGACAGTTGACAAGTTCCTACACAACCTTGTAATGTAGTAGCTCATTGGTCTAGAGAGATGAATATCCCTCATAGAGTCATGGGTTCGAAACCCGACCCCCTACCCTGTTTCCATGAATATACATTGTTTTCTCACTGTCACGTAATCACTTATTGTGAATGACTGAACACTCATCAAAAATCATTCCATTCAAGTAACTCAATTGACTGTTTACATCATTATGTGTAAAACATCACCATGTGATTAAAATGATAAAACTATGCATATTAGTGTAGAGTGCTGAAGATGAAGTGCCTACTCAATCAGTCTTTTTGCCTAAATCACAAATATCCATAAATAACAACTGATACCCCCGTTCCATATGAGGTGTGCCTGTTTTGCTTGATTAGATAACGCTTACATGTCTGAAGCGATAAGTACTGTGATTCTAGTCTCAGTGGATACATCACTAGGAGGCTGATATAAATCTAGCTGAGAAGTTAATCCCAAATAAGATGAAATATAAATCCTCGATCACGCATGTTAACTATCAAGTAGTGTCGAGTAGTAAAAAAAATCATACCTACTTACCGAATAAAATAAATTGTATCCGGGTGATCTGGACCCAATATACGCAAACGTATAAGTAAAGATTGTAAACGTAAAACATGTGTATTCTGCATTAGACTAGTTAAATCTTCACATGTTTGAAATTCGCATACATGTCCAAATGCTTCTTCACCGCATTGTTTTAATCGACGAATTAATGGATGATCTTCTGTGGCTAACTGACATTCTGGACATATATACATGAAAGTATTCTCCTGTTGATTACATATAGTGAAGGTTATACATATATATACCGATTGAATACAAACATATATACATATAATAAAACAGACTGATAACATTTGATCAATTATATGCAAAACCAAAACACTTCTATACTCAAACATTCTAGTTCATATTCTTTGTACGGAGTAGGATGTATGAAGTCCATCAGAAAGTCTAAAGATAGGACTCCAGTAGCACGTCACTATTCCACTCTGTTCTCTGTAGTCTTCACAATCTGCTTCCACCACTGCCCACAATCTTTCATTCCTTCCTCACACCATCTCCTCCATGTCACCCTAGCCTTGGACGCCTAACTCGTCGCTTTCTCCTTCGATCCCACTTGAGGACCTGCCCTGCCGCATGATGTCCCCAATCGACCTTCACAGTGTATGCCAAATCCGTCTCCAGTTTTTTCTGCATATTTGTTGGGTGACAGGTCCTTGGTTGGTTCGTTGCCAGCAACCTAGAGTTCCTTGTTGCTTATTCTTTCTGGCCATCTCATGTGATCTTCAGTATAGAGCGTAGGGAGCTGTTGATGAATATCTGTTTGTTGGAAATGCTTTTCGTGACACGCCGAGTTTCCGAACCATAGAACAGCACTGACTTGACATTGTTGTTGAAAATCCGGATCTTGTTCTTTGTGCACTGGAGTGGATCTCCACACTGATTCCAAATTAATGAAAGCCTGTCTTGCTTTTCCTATCCTGGTTTCGACATCCTCATCTGTGTCGCCTGTAGTTAAAACGATGTTGCCTATGTAGATGGGTACGTGAAAGAGACTATTTCCTTCAGGTTTCTCCTGTTGATGGTGATTAGTGCTTGTTGTTCATGCTGTTGGTCGTTGAGTACCTTCATCATCTCTGTCTTCTCTACATTCAATTGAAGCCCCGTCTTCGCTGCCCTGCCTCGCCTCTTCTGTCAAATTGTTGGTTTTCGCCTGTAGATCTTCAAGTTTATGCGACAAGACATTAGACACAATTCGTTATCGGCGAAATCCAAATCTTCTACGTTCTTTTCCCAGTCCAGTGTATACCCCTCTTCTCGCTCCTCACTGTTTCCTGCATGATCCAGTCCAGTCGACCACAATCAGGAATATCATGGGTGATAGTAAACAGCCTTGCCTTACTCCTTCCTGTCCTCACTTCAAAGGCGTCACAGAGCTTGCCACTGCAATCACTTGCCATGTGGCGTCGTCATATAGCTGTTGAATGAGGTTGATAAAGGTTTGTAGCACTACAACCATAGTATTGAAGCAGCTGCCTGGCAAATTACTTCTCGGTCGACACCTCGATCGAAGGCCTTTTCAAAGTGGATGAAGTTGAGGTAAGGTAAATAGTTGACTGCCATTCTATGCTCTGCTCTATAATGATGCGTAGTGTAGCGTTGCAATTTGAACCCCACATGATTTTTTCTTCCTGACCCAGCCAGCCTGTTCCGGTTGTAATTTTAATCCAGTGCATCCTTTAGTCTCTCCAGGATGATGCGGCATAATATTTTGCTTCGGGTGGACAGCAGCATGATTTTTGCCAGTTCTTGCAAAGCCTTATGTCTACCTCCTTTGCAAGTTTGACAAGGTAGCTCTTCTTTCAATCTGCAGGTACCTTTCCTTCCTTCCGAACCTTCTGCAGTAGTGGTGTGAGCTCTTGGCCTAAATAATGTGCTGCTTGATACAATAGTACGTGTATTGTGAATGAAAATATCATACTATTGTATCAAGCAGCACATTGTTCAAGCCAAGATCCTTGTAACAACATAATCAAAACTGTAAATAGATGGATACCAATAGGAGATGTTGACAATGAACTGAGGGACAGGAGGTTAGGGAGGGGAACATTAACGTCAACTTCTAGCCAACAGTAAACCAGCAGTAAGTTATGTGAGTTGAGAAAATCGAAATGCTTTCAGTAACCACGTGCATAGTCGTGCAGTAGGCAGTAATGAAGCACACTTACCGTGTGACGGTCAATCATACCACCTGACTGCTCAAACCAGCTCGGTTAGGTGGGGCGCGATTCAAACTCATGACTTACTGGTTAAAAGTTGACAGGAAAAGTTGGTAAATCAAAGCCCTGCTCATGCCTACTTTACCAATTCATTTCTTAAACTACTCCCATCCGATAACCATCACCTTGATGTGACATAAGGTTTTGATTACAGATGTCATCAAAGAATTGTTTACATTTGGTGAAACCACTGTGAAACAATGCTGAGGTCACATGAAGGGTAGAAAGTAAGACAGAAAAGTCGATTGAGATGGTTCGGACATGTGTTGCGCATACCGAGTTACCAGCTACCTCGATATGCCATGTTAAAGGAAGATGGTTTGTGTTGGAAGAGGATTCACGGTGACCAGATCAACATGTCGTACCAGTCAATGAAGTCTCTTACTGTCGGCCTGAGTCATGTGAGGATATGTAGACTGACTGTCTAGTTTCGGTTCCTGAGATGAAAGGAATCAGTGACTGAAGACCAGCCATAATGGCGCGGATATATTCACTCCTTGACGTCTTCTAAGGTTTGAATATTTGCACTGTCTCTTATCTTTAAATTGTCTTTTCTTTCATACAACTTCGTCACTCCTCTTTGTATGTTATTATGAATTGTGGCATGCTGAACTGATGGAGTTATGTGCGAAGTTCTACGTTGATTATGTCTATCTATCTGACGCATATCACAGATAGTTCAAGGATGAACGTTGTTTAGACAGATGGGTATCGTTTAAAATTTTTATAATTCCAAACAGGACTGGAAATGTCCAGTCTGTCTGCTTAACAAAGGTTCTGTTAATTATAGACGAGATAGTTATTATGTCAATGAACTGGAAGATGGGCAGAGAGAATGAACGTGAAACATCGCAAACAGGTGTATCATCTCCAGTTTCCATACTTCATATGTGTATACAAAAAACAAGTGGATAAAGAAAGATTAATATTAAAGTAGTCGAAGTAGACAATCTGAAGGTAACAGACAGTACAAATATTCAAACCTTAGAAGACGTCAAGGAGTGAATATATCCGCGCCATTATGGCTGGTCTTCAGTCACTGATTCCTTTCATCTCAGGAACCGAAACTGGACAATCAGTCTACATATCCTCACATGACTCAGGCTGACAGTAAGAAACTTCATTGACTGGTACGACATGTTGATCTGGTCACCGTGAATCCTCTTCCAACACAAACCATCTTCCTTTAACATGGCATATCGAGGTAGGTGGAGACTCGAGATGCACAGCTCATATTCAAGACATCTCACTCGAGTAAAATTTACAACCTTATCTACCAACTTGCCTAGAATACTCTTCACCTGACTAATCTCATCATTGCTCACACGGTGATTCCACCAAACGCGAGCAATGCTACAAAGATACCTATGATCAAAACTCATCGCTTCATATACTCTACTTTTAATGGCCATGTATCACAGCCGTTTGACAGGACAGAACAAACTGCAGGGTAGTATAACCATCCTTTGGTAGATAGATAGTAGGATATTTCGCCAGTCGGTGGCATAGATGACGCACGTTAGCAATATCAAACGGTCCTTCTTCATACTAGCTGAGATTTCGTCACAAACTAGGCAATTCGGGCTGATGCAACTCCTCAAGTAGGGGTGAAGTGTTCGACGCATCCCATCAATTCACTCCACATCATGAAACTGGGAGTAGTTGCATAGCAGTCGTAGAGTATTATCATATATTTCACAGGTACAAAACGCATATGTATAACGCTTTGATGCTGAGGTTCAAGTCTCACCGAGAGAGACAGATGGATAGACAAAACCAACGTAAAACCTCACACAAGTGCACCGATTCAAGTTGCCACACTTCACAGAAGTATCTTGTCTCATTGGGAACAGCATTAGTCACTCTAGTGCAGTCACATCTGACTGACGACTCCAAGTTAGGACGAGACACACGTTCTAGATTCCAGAGTTAATCACCAACAAAATAAAAATAACAAGTAGGATAACTTACACTTTCGGTTAGTGACTTATGAGTATTCAATTTAGAATTGACGACTGGGGCCATGCCGCTTCTCTTTTCATTTGAACGACTACCTGAAATATAAAGACAGAAGAACAGAACAAGGTTTAAATAAAAGAAAAAACTACAAGTTAATCCAACATGAGTTTCGGACTTGTGGGCGCTCTCATCACTGAGTCACCTCTACAATCTGAAAGGAACTGACGTCCCCCGACTGATGCTTGAATTCATGTCACTCAATGTTGTAGTCACCATGCACTAGGATAGACGTAAGTTGGTGAATCTTTTAGCTGACTAGCCTAATTGTAAAACGGTTACCCTTCAGTGATTAATCAGTGGAAATCGACATCCTTTAATCACAAAAGGTTAAATTTGTACTGCTTTAAGGTATACAGTTTTGCTGTATGGAGGTTTCTTCTCGTCACCTAATTACACAGACGTTGACCCGATCACAGATGAATTATCTTTAGATCTAGAACATGCAGATGACATAGTCCTGTTAGATGAAGACGCTGACAAGATGCAGAGTCTTCTGAACACTTTGAGTGGGAATTTGAGAATGTTTGGGATGCGATTTTCACCACCCAAATGCAAATTTTGCTCCAGGACTGGTCTTCAGCGGTACCGCGGTTAACAATAGAGGGTGAAGTGGTTGAGTGTGTCAACCACTTCACTTACCTGGTAAGTGAAGTAGGATCAACCTTGGTGGCTCAGTGGCCGATGAAATCTCTGCACGAATACAAAAGGCTCGATTGGCTTTTGCCAATTTGCGCCACCTATGGCGCCGCCGTGATATTCGTTTGTCTATTAAGGGTCGCGTGTATTGCACACCAGTCCGCTCTGTTCTACTGTATGCTGTGAAACATGGCCATTGAAGGTGGAGGATACAAAAAGGCTTCAGGCGTTTGACCACCGTTGCCTTCGTAGTATAGGACGTATTCCGTGGTGTCACCATGTGAGTAATGCAGAAGTTAGGTGTAGAGTTTTAGGGAGAAGAGGTAAGTCAGTTGACGAGGTTGTTAACCTTCATCGACTGAGATAGTTGGGACACGTACTACGCATGCCTAGTCACCGATTGCCTCATCACACAATGTTGGCTGAGGTGGGTCCAGACTGGAAAAAGGCCCAACGTGGCCACACTAAAACATGGCACCAGTGTATGAAGTCTCTGACTGTTGGTTTAAGCCATGTAGGACGATTCACACTAGGTGCTTGGGGTCCATGGGACAAGAGGAACCAGTGGTTGCTGACTCTAGGTCATATGGCTGAGAACCGATGTCAGTCGTGCACATGTATCCCCACACACATTATCCTCATCTTAACAACACCATACCGAACCTCACCATTTTGTCACTACTCTTTTCTTCTTCTCGTGCTTTATATTTCTTTTGACTACATTCACTTATCTTCATCCTTCGCCTCACTACCTTTTTACTTGATGTGCTGATATGAGGTGTGGCAACTCGGACCGTTACGCAGTAATACCTGGTCCTATGTTGATAATGATGATGATGTACGCAAAAACGTATCAAGTCCACCTTAAATTTGCCATGTTCAACGTTTATAATATATACACTATATCATCACCTTCTTCATTAAAAGAGTGTTCGCACATATTTACAAGATTAAGAAAATGACTTCAGAGTTCCAGGAGTGTAGTAGATATTCTTAGTTAAGTAACTGATGAAATGCTGACTTGAATATGTTCTGCACATTTCAATCTATCGGCCTTCATATCAAAGTGTACCTGTGAACACTTGAACTGGCTAACAAGGCGGTACATTTCCTTGTGTGGAATCTGTAGCAATTTCTCCATTTATCCTTAGAACAAACAGTAATGTAGTATTCATCATGGATTGACGTAATTTGAAGAACCATTGAAAACCTGAGAGCACAGGACAACTATTTCATTCTAGTGTGGGATTCTTCAGCAGTACATATGCACAGTGTAACCTTTATTCAATGCTATCGACTAGTGGGACAATGGTAACGTGGTGATCATGGAACCTGAAGACTGTGGGTTCGATCCACACACTTGGTCTTCAATGCTGCCATGGTCAACAATAGAGAGTGAAGTGGTTGAGTGTGTTGACCACTTCAATTACCTGGGAAGTGGGATGAGCCCTGATGGCTCACTGGCTGGTGAAATCTCCGCACGAATGCAAAAGATTAGGTTGGCTTTTGCCAACTTACCCCATCTATGAAGCCGCCATGATATCCAATTGTCTATCAATTATCGCATGTACTGCACAACAGTCAGGTCTGTTCTACTGTATGGCTGTGAAACATGACCATTGAAGGTGGAAGACATGAGAAGGCTGGCTTCAAGTGTTTGACCATCGTTGCCTTCGTAGTATAGGCCGTATTCCATGGTGTCACCATATGAGTAACGCAGAAGTCAGGTATAGAGTTTTAGGGGGAATAGGTAAGTCGGTTGATGAGGTTGTGAACCTTCATCGACTGAGATGGTTAGGACATGTATTACTTATGCTTAGTCACCGATTGCCTCATCACACAATGTTGGCCGAAGTAGGTCAAGGCTGGAAAAAGGCTCGAGGTGGTCAGACTGAAACATGGTATCACTGTGGGTTTGAGCCATGTAGAGGGGCGATGCAGACTAGGTGTTTAGGGTTCGCGGGACAAGAGGAACCAGTAGTTGGAGACTGTAAGTGATCACACGACTGAGGATGGATGTCAGTGGCGTAGATGTATCCTCACACAGATTGTCCTCTTCTTAACGACACTTTCTTATTCTTCATTTCTCTCTTTCGTAGTTTATATTTCTTTCGACTGAGCTTTCTTATCTTTATCTTGCGCTTCATTGCCTTTTATTTGATGTACTGATGTGAGTTGTGGTAACTCGGAGTGTTATGCAGTTGATTAAATGGACCGAAACAGTCTTCCTAGACTTTCAATAATCCTTTCAACTGATACTAATCCATGATGAATATCAACATTGAAAATTGAAAAATGTACAAAACTTACCAGTATAAGTTGTTGGCGCTTTACAAATAGGACAGATAGAATTATCATTATTATTATCATCATTTAAATAAGCAGTCTTCATTGAAACAAGTATTCGTTGACAATTATAACATTGATTAATATATTTTGAAACAGAAGTATGTACAATATTATTATGTGATAGTGTAGTTGTAGAATTCTTTTCAGATATTGTAAACTTTATAGGATGATGAATAGATTCTAGAAGGCAACGACGATAACGTGCAATTTGACAACATTTTGGTTCAAAGCCTAAAATAGGATCAACTTGAGTAATAGATTGAATGAATACACCACCACTAGCACCACCGCCAGCAGCAGTATGATGTGTAGGTGTTAATGATGATGATAGAAAAGGTAGAGGTGATGATGATGATGATGGCGGTGGTGGTGGTGGTGGACCATGTGTAGATGAAGTTGAATTTTGATCAGAATAATCAGTAGAACAACTTGAACGTAAACCTAAACGAGAATTATGTGAACCTTGAAGAAAAACAGAACAAAATGGTGATGATTGTACATCTGTTGTTGTTGTTGTTGTTGTTGTTGTTGTTGTTGTTGTTGTTGTATAATCTTTGAATGAATGACCTAAATGTTCAAATTCATATTGATAAGCATTTTGTAAATCATATTGTAATTTTATATATTTCTTTATAAATAATTCATTATATTCTTTTGAAAATAATGAAGTTATTTTTTGTTTAATTAAACAGTTATTCAATGTACAATGTTGTTGTTGTTGTTGTTGTCGTGATAATAATTCATGAATAATTGTTAATTTTTATTATATTGTAAACAGAATGATTGTGAATAACTTTGTTCATTATATCGATTAATTTCTGATATACCAATTGCTTCACGTGCAGCTAATTGAATTAATGACCAACAATTATTCCCATCATTACAATTTATTATCCATCTTCTTGATATAGAATTTTCATTAATATTCTCTACACTTTGATTATTTTCATTAATTATTGAATATTGATTAATTGATGATATATTGGTCAAGTTTAATCCACTCATACAATGAGAACATTGGGGTATAGGATGTGGAATAAACTTTTTATTCATGACCTCATTATTATTATTATTATTATTATTATAACTATTCAATTCTTGACGTAAACTGATTGCATGATACCAAGCAGCAATAGCATCTTGAATTAATGAATGTCTATCAAACAGACTAGCACCGAGTAGATCATATGCTGCAGCTTTTTCATTGATACTAATCATTTGATTAACATCTGAGATATCTATAGTAGCTAAAAAATCTACAATCTATTTTATACAGGAGAAAAAAAACAAACATAATTATATCTTGATAAGCAATAGTCATCAAGAAATTAGTCTAAATGTTATTGCTTGTATGACAACGTCGTTGATTGGACCGAATTCATCGGTCTCTATTGGCTAACGGTTCCTGCGCAGGTGCCTCGATATTGCCTTTCTTTTAATTCTATATATTATTAATGCATAGTGGCTAGTAGTGGAATCCAAGATGCGTATTTCGTCCTATTTGCCAGTCCTCAACTGGATGTATCTGTGCCTCCCAGTGAGTGATGTTGTTCCCACAAAGATTCCAACGAGGGATCGATCACTTCAAACACCACACCGTTATCCACTAGACCATCGAGCTACAATAGCCACTTCTTGTGCGACGGACACAGTTTTTAGTATAATTGCTTGTATTATACTATCGTTGATTGGACCGAATTAGTCGGCTCTATTGGCACTGCTAATAGCCATGTTTCACAGAACAGACCGGACTGCTGTGCAGTACAAGCCAACCTTAATAGACAATCGGATATCATGGCGGCGCCATAGGTGACGTAAGTTGGCGAAAGTCAACCGAGCCTTTCGTATTCGCGCAGACATTCCATCGGCCACTAAGCCACCAGGGCAGGATTGATCCTACTTCACTTTCCAGGTAAGTGAAGTGATCAACACACTCAACCACTACACTCTTTATTGTTAGCCGAGTTTTGAACAACACATACACAAACAGAGAGAGAGATCAGTTGCGAAAGGAGTCAAGTATTATAAACTACTCCTTGACATATTTTATAGCCTGAATATTTGGACTAACCGTTATCTTCACACAACTTTGTCTACTTTGATATCACCCCAATTGTATCGACCGTTTCTTGGTATACTTCTATGAAGTGTGGTAACTTGAGATGATGCACTTGTGTCTGAGATTCGATGTCGACTTTGTCCATCTACGTGGTCATCACCACGAGTAGATACCAATTTCTCCACGCATCCACCAGATGTACTTGTCCTCCTCCGGCGTAAAAACAACAATATGCTATCAATCAATAAATCCCTACGAACCTCCATACTTGGAGATGATATTTCTCGACATTCTCATCAGAAGTTAGTAGTAACCGGTGAGGTAAACGAAGTTGGACATGAAAACAAATACTCAACGATGATATTGCATGAAGGTCATAATATGTCACGAATTGAAGGAAATAGGAAAATGTGGACTAGTGAACATCGACCCAATGGTTCAACGATAACGTGGTGATAACCACGAAACCTTTCAAGTATGTACCTACACATAAACAACAATTCTTGCTAAATCACATTTATCAGTATGGTGAACCGTGGGAATCTTAACCAGAAGATCGATGTATTACACATCATAAGTGTAATAAAAGAAACGATCAGGCTGACAGTATCTTATACAAGTCCCTAAGTGACTTCAATTTCAATTGTGGTCAATAATGTAAACCTTACTTCTGATCTTTCCTGATCCCTTCGCATTTTATTATTATTTATTATTTTTCCCTTGGGTTCCTAGTAGAACACACGGCTTCACTGGCACGTCTCCATTACACTCTCTTCTCTGCAATCTTGCAAACCTGGCTCCACCACTGCCCATAACCTCTCATTTCTTCTTCGCACCATCTCCTCCATATCACCCTCACCTCGGATGCCCAACTGGCTGTTTCCCATCTCGGTTCCACTCGACGGCCTCGCTGGCTTGGCCTGGCACGTGATGTCCTCAGTCTGCCTTCTCAGTCCATGCCCAATCCATCTCCGCTTCCTTCCAGTGCATATTTGTTCAGCGATAGCTTCTTGCCTCGTTGGTTCGTTCCCAGAGTTCCTTCTTGCTTATTCTTTCTCACCATCTCATCTGATCTTCAGTAACCAGACAGCGTAAACAGTTGTTGATGAATGTCTGTAGTTTATTGGAAATCCCTTTCGTAACGCGCCAAGTCTCTCAACCATACAGGAGCATTGACTTGACTGAATTGGCGTTGAAAATCTGCATCTTGTTCCACATGCTGAGTGCAGTGCAGAAGATCTCTACACTGGTTTCCGGTTAATGAACGCCTGTCTTGCTGTCTTTCCGATCCTCGCTTTGACGTCCTCCTCGCATTTTACTAACTTCCAAAAAAATCCTTCGCTTGACTTGTCATATAAAGAAACTCAGAGTGGCATAATTTAGCTTCTAATCTTACATTTCTTGAATTTATGCGTTTCGCCTATACTTACCTATTGTTCCCCCTAATTTTCTCCTGGTCTCCTGGTATTGCGAAGGATTTTGAGGGCTGTTAGTCAAGCGATTGATACACCATTAACCGTGCTAATAAACTCAGTTTTGGATAGGCATGTGAACTTTTGCATCCTCTGCATCCACATTTCCCTCCTCCGGAGAGGCAAGAAGAAAATAGGTTAACCTCTATGCACGCACAACTACATATAAAAAGTCAACCATACCACCGTACTTAGCTTGTTTATTGTATAAAGAAAATTTTGTGAAACATAGTCCTGTCAATCCATTTTGCAATAGTGAACAGTTATCCTATTATCTGCTGAGAATCCTCTACTGTAAACAAAATTATGGTTCAGAATAAAGCAGATTGGAATGAGAAGTCATCACTATGAGCAACCAGTGTTAATACGATTAAGCGATAGTAACTGTCAGGTAAAAAACCTCGCTAGTGATTTAAGTCAAATAAAAATCTAGTCAGCAGTCGAACCCCATAGCTCAGTTGGTAGAGCATTAGGCCGGAAACCCAGCGGTTGCTGGTTCGAATCCGACCGCGGTTTAAATTTCCACTTCACCTTCAATCATCACCCAGCATAAAGCAGATATGTTATGATTATTGTTACCTTTCACTTAGTGTTGTTATATCTAGGCGTTACGAAGACTACTTCAAAGTGGATACTGCAACATGATTTCGCCGCAAAACCCACTTGATCGCACCTTCGACGCCACAGTCCAGACATTGAATGATATGTCTGCAGAATATCAACGACTGAGTAACCTGCAGCATGATTGGAATTGAATCCAATGCAGACAAAAGGGTGGTTCTGAAGTACATACAGTTCGACAGACATCCCATTTCTCTGCGTCACCCTCTGGCCACACACTCCCTGGACTTGTCTCGCCGGTTCAATGGCTCAGTAACTCATACGATACCATCCGGTCCTTTAGGAAGGCACCTCCATCGCCTTGCTGACACTGTAGTGCCTGGCATTTCGTCACATCTTGTCCATATAAACAACATGGATGCAGGGACTGTAATGTTGGGAGCCATAAGGACGGTTTTTGCCGCCAACAAGCACAACGACGCGTACAAAGGTCATCCTCTAGATACCGCTGCAGATCTCATTCTCGATTGAAAGGTAAATCTCTTGGCTTGACGGCTGATTTTTATGCTCATGCACTTGCCTGCCGAAAGAATATCGAGGAAACTACTGATTATCCTGCAGTAAACAAGGTGAAACTCTCTTTTGTGTCAGTCAGATAGGTTCAGGAAAAAGACAGTGTGGCCAAATCTGATCCCAAATAACATTCTTTTGAATAGGTAGGAGAAATTGGAGATGATACGCATCATTAATTAAGAGACGTGAAGGAAGATTAGAAGGTAATGATGGAGGAGGTGGATAGCAGTCAGAAGAAACTTGAGTGCTGACAGAGTTGTGAGGGCGGTTGACACTTCCCGGCTGCCCACACCTTGGAAGGCTATTTATTCTTAAGGTACCTAAAAGAGATTTGTGTGACCACAAACCCCTTCGGACATCTGCTTGAGGTCTGTCACACGAAGCCTTTTGAGTATGATTATTTTGAACTTTTGTATTTTTGGGGCCGGATGGTCGAAAAGAAACGACAAACGAACCAACACCGCCGGTCCGACAGACCGTGGGGCATGGTGGAGTGTGTTATTTTTGGGGCCGACCTTTTCTAACCCCCCTTCCACTGAGAAGGCAGCATCAGCATGGCACTGCTGGTCATCCAAGGAAAACACCTTACTACTGTCACACCCCATCCAGCTAGCAACAGTATGACTTCGCCCTCAGACCCCCATCATAGTGTAGTAATTTACACCACAACGGTAACTGCTTTCGTCTAACCACTATCCAACAGACCTTTCTGGTATGGTAGGACCTCAAGGGAACAAGTGTTCCACCAGCATAGTTCGTTGGGTCATTGTGATATGCAAGCCCGACCACCACGTCAAGGTAGCAGCTATGGCTGAGGTGGGTCCAGACTGGAAAAAGGCCCAACGTGGCCACACTAAAACATGGCACCAATGTATGAAGTCTCTGACTGTTGGTTTAAGCCATGTAGGACAATTCACACTAGGTGCTTGGGGTCCATGGGACAAGAGGAACCAGTGGTTGCAGACCCTAGGTGATATGGCTCAGAACCGATATCAGTGGCGCAGATGTATCCTCACACACATTATCCTCATTTTAACAACGCTATACCGAATCTCACTATTTTGTCACTCCTCTTTCCTTTCTTCTCGTACTTTATATTTTTTGGCTGCATTCACTTATCTTCATCCTCACCTCACTACCTTTTTACTTGATGTGCTGATATGAGGTGTGGCAACTCGGACCGTTACGCAATAATGCCTGGTCCTATGTGATAATGATGATGATGATTCTTTTGAAGAGGGAGGTGATATGGGGATATAGATAAATGACTAGTGTGGAGAAGGACCTATCGAAGTGTACTTCAAGTTATCACGTCTACAGCTGGACAGATGAAACGGTGGATCAGTCAATCAGTATTATTATTTTGAACAGCGAACTATCTACATATTAGTCGTAGTTTCCTTTGTTTTGGCCTTCAGTCTTTCGACATCAACACACGTTTCTACACATCCATCGTGTCCTCTCCATTAATTCGGGTTGGATCGGTGATCGACTAGGAATTTGTTGAACACTGGTGGTTGACACTCAATATTCGTGCATCGTTAATGACCGTAGAACATAGCAATTTCCAATGGTCCATCAGTCGACTTGGCAGTGTTACAATTGAGCTAATATTTGAGACATCGATGCCCCTCCCCCCCCCATCCTTGAACCTTAGCAGCAGAAGACCAGCACTGACTTGCAACAAACATTTGAAAAAAAAACAAGAAGAGAAGGCAGAAGAATGGTAAACATCTACCGCTTAACTTGAGATCAAGACAATTCGAGTCAACTTCAGAAACCTGCTTAATTAATTATATGACGATTAATTGGTTAAAAACTTCAGAATGTATCATATGCCATTCCTCTAGGTGAAAAAAGATGAGGATGCTAATAATAATAATAATAATAAACTAACCTTTTTGTAAGCTGCATTCGCTCCGGACATAATCGGAGACTGGCCATACTCATCTTTACGCATAATAGCTCGATGATTCAGCAACAGTTGTAAACATTTTAAATTTCCACTTTCTGTACAATCATGTAACGCGGTATTACCTTGACCAGAGAAAGTAGAACATTAAGAATTATTATTATTCGAAGATAAATTATGGTACAGTCAAGGGACCAACAAACGAACTGCACAAAATAATATAACAACATGATGAAGATATAAAGTGAAAGGAAGTGGATAAGTAAGAAAATCATAGGAATAACAGCATTAGAAGGGCACTTCAGTAAGGTACATTCATTACTTTTCACTAGAAGAAGACAAAAGGAAGCTACAGCATGACCACTACTCGTCTACATTCTCATCCATATCTCATCACATCTCAACTGACTGAGTTGCATCATCTTTCCAACCCCAACCACGAAGTCCTGATGCATCATCAGATCCTAACCCAATACAACTATCCTTCATCCCACGGTGCCGGCAAGTCATACACTAACCACTTCTCCGCTTCTTCTATCCAACAACCAACAGTATGGAAGCCGTTGGGACAATATGCGTAACACATCTCCAAATCATCGAATCCGGGGGCTCCAGATGTCTTCACTTATTCAATGATGATCTCTATCTCCCAAACAATCCTATGGAGACAACGATGATCAAACGCATAAAGTCGTCGCATATCCTCAGCTCGGAGTAGTCAGCTTCCACAGGTGCAGAGCAGAACTGCTCTCATCGAAGCCTTGTAAACCTCATTTTTCACGGCTAGACTAACTTCATCACAGTGCGAAAGATGGCCGAGATTGAAAACCATAGGAATAACATGATTAAAAGGGTAGTCCAGTAAGGTACATTCATTACTTTTCACTAGAAGATAGAAAGAAGCTACAGCATGACCACCACTGGGTGATGCGGGTTCAAATCTCAGACGAGACATCAGTTCCATCGACGTTGCAGATACGCCTTGCCGACGAGTTCCAAAAAGCACGAAACCTAGGTCCAGGGCTTCCTGATGATTGCCTTCAACCAACTAACATTTACTAATGTGCACCGCGATGCTGAGCTTCCTAGCTTGGTTGCCACACTGCAAATATGATCGATAGAATTCGGTCTGCACTCAGGACTAGACAACATGAAGTTGGTTGCACTCCCGTGACCAATTAATTTATCCATATCTCACTACGTTTCAACTCACTGAGTTGCATGATCTCTCCAACCCTAACCACCGAGTCCTGATGCATCAATAGATCGTAAACCAAAACAACTACCCTTTATCCCACGGTGCCACCAATAAATTTGCTGCTCTAGTTCTGAGAAACTCCTTGTCTATAGTCTGTGGAGATTTCAACTCACGTAACTGCAGTTTTCTATTATCATTGGGTCATGAAAATATAGTTAACTTTTCTACTCGTCTTGACAACACCCTAGACTTAGCATTTTACAAATGAACCTGGCATATATGAAGCCAGGAAACGGGCTTCATTGCTGAATTCTGACCACTGTATTGCACGGCTTTTGTGTAATGTGTATGGCAAATGACATAAGAAGGCTTTCGGATACCTTTATAAGAAGATCCAGTACAGATGATATTCATAAGAGAATATATCAGGTTTGAGAAGCATGCTTATAGATAGAAACGGACGGGATGTATTTGCTGATGAAGTCTTAAACAATGCTATCACGAATATCATAAGCTATCTCAGATCCTGTCTCGATATTTGCTGCCCTGTTGAAACAACTTACATGAGATCAGACAGACTTTCTTCTCCTCATCTCAAGAGGCTTCGGAGAGAAAAGGAAAGGTTGTATAAAGCAAGAGATCATCCTAGCGTTAAAAGGCTTAACTCCCTAATTAAGTCTGAAATACAACGTCTGAATACGATATACAACTAGAAGTTTCTATTGTATAAGAACCCTTCCAATATGTGGAAATTATTCAAAGAGATTACTGGTATAAAACAGATAACAAAAGAAGTTTGTTTGAATTTCTGCGTATTGAATAAGTCATTCATACATCGGCAAGCTAATTTCATCGTTCCTAATATCCATAGTCAAATGGATAGCTCTACTTTCCTGGCTTTAATACACATGATGTATTTAAATGTCTAAAGTCCTTGAATCTCTCTCGAAGCTTAGGTCCTGATGGTGCTTCTAGTATTATGTTTAGAAAATGTGAAGATATTTTATGTCATCCCCCTTACAGATATCTTCAATGTATCGTTTTCTAAAAACATAATACCCACTGCTTGGAAGAAGATCAAAATTGCATCTATGCCTGAGTCATCTTCTGGATCAGATGTTACGTTTTGACCCATTACTATAACTTCCCCTTTTTTGAAGACAATCGAGAACTTACTTCTCCTTCTGTTTGTTTGAACCTTAACTAATAGTTTTCAGAGATCCAAAACAGTTTGCTTATGAATACAAGAGAAGTACTTTAGATGCTGTCATTGTCTTGCATCATCATAATATTGTTTGTAGTCTAGACAAAGGTGTTAAGTGTGTTCATTGTAGCTTTTCAGATTACTCATCAAGCCTTTGACTCTGCTCCTACACTCAAAACTGGCTATATTCTCTACACTGTCTATAAAGGGAAGCACTCCACTTCATTGCTTACTGTAGCTGATGTACCACAAACTGTTGTACTTTCTCCTTTTCTGTCTTCGTTCCTCTGGTATAATTTACCTTATATTCTGTTGAAACTAATCTTATTAAGTATGCTGATGTCCTGAAGGTGTCTATTCCAGTCAACTGTCTCAACTAAATGGATTCTTCTCTGTTATCGATCAATGGTGTCAAGTTAAACCCTTTCAAAATGTCAGTCAGTTAATTTTAGCCTCAGGTGTAAACGAGACTTGTATGAGGTGCTTAAGTCTCATGACGTTTGTTGCAGTACTGATGGTATTGTGCAGAAGGCAAATCGAGTGTTAACTATCTTCGATTGACTCTTACTTCTCAGCTTTGTTGGTTGCCTCATATCTTGTTGACATGTAGAAAAATCTTTCGTTTAGCATATTACATAGTGAAACTGAGACTGTCTGGTATAACTCAATACCTCTTCAGTTTTGCGATTGATCAATTCCTGGATGTTACCTATTTTTCTGTATTATTCCCCGTTGATGTTCATGGTTTACCACTAAACAAGGAGTATGTTATATTGTGTAGGGGTCTGAAATCCATCAGTGAGTAGGGTGAGTGGTGTGCCCCTGGCCCAACTGATTAACACTGTGGTAGTTGATAGACATTTAAATCCCAGCAAACAACTAGCTACAGTAATTTTAACTGACAGTGAGCATCCACTTCATCATTCACAGTTCTCTCTCCTTGTATCTTCTCTCAGGGAGGACAAGAAGAAACTACATACGGTGACTGTATGCTCGCACAGCCAAGTACAAGAATTCAACTGCGTCCTCACCTAGCACGCACATTATATGCGGCAAAAAGGGTGTTAAAAGCAACTCACATATCAACCTTGTAAGGGTTAAGAGTCTCATTTCAATCATTTAATCAAGCATGTAAAATGTTCTCGTTACTGTTATTATTACGATATCGCATTTTAATAATATGCTGAATGATTAAAGACTTTGTTTCCAGAATCATTGGGATTAGATGCTTCCAATTCTTTGTGAACTTGACAGCAAACTGGTGGTACCAGTGGAATGAATGTATAACGCGGATTTAGCCTCCATTTAGGACTCATTCGTCAACTGAATATACCTCCATCCTAGTGAGAAGTGATGTGCTTCCCTCTTCAGAGTCAACCGAGTACAACCATCTTTTCTACAGTTTCAGTTCTTTCTAAAGACGCGATGGAATTACTACTATGCAATCCTTTCTCAACATAGAGATGTAAGGCTTAAGGTAATTCCAAACTGTGCCATAAATTGTTTGGAATAAAGTGAATTATTATTATTATTATTACTATTAATATTTATTCATATATGATATAATATTAATTATGATAATTTGGTTCGTTGTGGCTAGCAGAAGAATCCAGGACGTGAGTTTCGTCCCATATGGGACTCGTCAGCTGGATGTACCTGCACCTCAGTGATGTTGTTCCCACAATCAACCAAATTATCATTATTATTATTATTATTGAAAAACATCACCTTAAATGACATTATTAGTGTACTGTAAGTCAACCAGACAATCCTCTAGGGTGTTTATATAATAATAATAATAATTAATCTTCATATATATCAGTATAAGATGACAATAAATCAATTTATAACTTACCCTTAGCGCTACGTCGATTCACTCGAGCATTTTTACTGAGTAGATATTCAACAATATTATCATGACGTCGATAACAACTAATCATAAGACAAGTGTGTCCATGACGATTTGGATTTTCAATATTTGCACCATGTTCAACAAGATATCGAACAACCTTATTGTAGAATAAAAAGTTTTTTTTGAATAAAATATTAGTTGATAAAGGATATTACACCATCAACTAATCTTCATTTACGTAAGACTAGTCACCATCTTGATAACTTGATGTTTAGATGAATGGATTGCTGAATAGTTAGTATAGACTAATCTCTGTTCTCAGACATTTAATAAACAGAAATCCTATTAATAAGGAGGTTATTATTAACATGAAACAATGGTTAGAATAACTTAAAACAACTAGTATGGTAGTGATGGTGACTGATCGACTCTCTCGATAACTGTAAATCTGATTGACCATGGAGAGTGTTAAATCATAAATCATTTACGGCTTACTATGAGTTCGAGTCAAAATCCACTCACAAAAACTTGTGTACATTCGTGTAGTAAGTAATTACTATTATTATTATTATTTCTTCCTTGGGTTCCTAGTGGAACACATAGCTTCACTAGCACGTCTCCATTACACTCTCTTCTCTGTAATCTTGCAAACCTGGCTCCACCACTGGCACGTGATGTCCTCAGTCCGCCTTCTCAGTCCATGCCCAATCCATCTCCGCTTCCTTCCAGTGCATATTTGTTCAGCGATAGCTTCTTGCCTCGTTGGTTCGTTGACAGAGTTCCGTCTTGCTTATTCTTTCTCACCATCTCATCTGATCTTCAGTAACGTGCCACCATGAGCAGTTGTTGATGAATGTCTGTAGTTTACTGGAAATCCCTTTCGTAACGCGCCAAGTCTCTCAACCATACAGGAGCATTGACTTGACGTTGGTGTTCAAAAACCGAATCTTGTTCCACATGCTGAGTGCAGTGCAGAAGATCTCTACACTGGTTTCAGGTTAATGAACGCCTGTCTTGCTGTCTTTCCGATCCTGACTTTGACATGCTCGTCTGTGCCGCCTGTAGTTGAAACAGTGCTGTCTAGATAGATGAAGGAGGTTACTTCCTTTAAGTTCCTCCCGTTAATGGTGATTGCAGCTTCGTGTTGTTGTTGGTTGGGTATCTTCATCACCTCTGTCTTCTCTACATTCACTTGAAGACCCGTCTTCGCTGCCCTGCCTCCTCTGCCAACTTGTTAGTTTTCGCCTATATATCTTCAAGTTTGCGTGACATTAGACATAAATCATCATTGGCGAAATCCAAATCTTCTAGGTTCTTTTCCTCGGTCCAGAGTATCCGCCTCTTCTCGTTCCTCACTGTTTGCTGCATGATCCAGTCCACCACAATCAGGAAGATCATTGGTGATAGTAGTCGGCAGCTTTGTCTTACTCCTGTCTACTGTCTTCACTTCAAAGGCGTCACTGAGCTTTCCATTGTGGATTACTTCGCAAGTGACGTCGTCATATAGTTGTTGAATGAGATTGATAAAGGTTTGTGGTATTCCGTAGTGTTGAAGCAACTGCCAAATTACTTGTCGGTCGACGCTGTCTAAGGCCTTTTCAAAGTTGATGAAGTTAAGGTAGATGGTTGACTGCCATTCTATGCTCCGTTCTGTGACGATGCGTAGTGTAGCGTTGTAATTTGATCCGCACATGATTTATTCTTCCTGAAGCCAGCCAGCCTGTTCCGGTCGTAGTTTTGAATTCAACGCCTCCTTTAGTCTCTCCAGTATGATGCAGCTTAGTATTTTGCTTGCGGTGGACAGGAGCGTGATTCCATGCCAGTTCTTGCGAAGACTTAGGTCGCCCTTCTTCGGGAGTTTGACAAGGTAGCCCTTCTTCCAATATGCAGGTACCTTCCTTTCCTTCCAGACGTAGTAAGTAGTATTCCAGAATCATTGGTAGTTACTTGGTTGGTTAGACATCAGAAGGTGAAGCAATCTATGAATCCGCGACTGACTAGTGCTATGCTAGGAGAGGTTGGACGCGATTGGAAGAGGGCTCAGGGTGGACAGAACAAGACATGGCACCAGTCTATAAGGTCCCTGAATGGTGGTCTCAGTCTTGTAGGGGAGATGTAAACTACCTGGTTGAGGGTTACCCTAGACGATAGCAGTCCGTAGTTGGAGAGCCTTGATGATATGGCTGAAAATTGGGTCACATTGGCCCAAATACACTTACTCTTTGATTTCTTCTGAAGTCGAAATTGCTTATTCTATTACACAGAACTTTCTCTACTTTGATATCATTCCTTTCCTATCCACTTGTTCTCCGTATGCTACAGTGAAGTATGGCAACTTGTGGTGATGCACTTCTATGTGAGCTTCTATGTTGTCATATATATATATATATATATATATATATATATATATATATATATATATATATATATATATATATATATATATATATATTGAAATAATGGAGAATATTTGTAGCTTAGGTGGATGGTCTTGGTTGTATTGTGTGCGCTGAGCTGGGTTGTTTAATCGTAAAGCCAGTTCTTGCAAAGACTTAGGTCGCCCTTCTTCGGGAGTTTGACAAGGTAGCCCTTCTCCAATATGCAGGTACCTTCCTTTCCTTCCAGACGTAGTAAGTAGTATTCCAGGTTATTGGTAGTTACTTGGTTGGTTAGACATCAGAAGGTGAAGCAATCTATGAATCCGCGACTGACTAGTGCTATGCTAGGAGAGGTTGGACGCGATTGGAAGAGGGCTCAGGGTGGACAGAACAAGACATGGCACCAGTCTATAAGGTCCCTGAATGGTGATCTCAGTCTTGTAGGGGAGATGTAAACTACCTGGTTGAGGGTTACCCTAGACGATAGCAGTCCGTAGTTGGAGAGCCTTGATGATATGGTTGAAAATCTGGTCACATTGGCGCAAATACACTTACTCTTTGATTTCTTCTGAAGTCGAAATTGCTTATTCTATTACACAGAACTTTCTCTACTTTGATATCATTCCTTTCCTATCCACTTGTTCTTCGTATGCTACAGTGAAGTATGGCAACTTGTGGTGATGCACTTCTATGTGAGCTTCTATGTTGTTATATATATATATATATATATATATATATATATATATATATATATATATATATATATATATATACCTTATCTGAGATTTATTGACTAAGAGTACGTAAATGAGAAAATTCAGACAAAGTACAAGTGTCTAGGTTCTAGGCTATGTATCATATTGTGTGAAAGCTGCTTAATTACCTAGGCAGAGGTATATGAAATAGATTTGAAACTTTTGAGACCCATCGCAAATCGCTAAACATTCTTTACTTAGCGTGAAAGATCACGTAAATTCTAGTGATCATGTCGAACAGTGAAATGTTTTGAGTTTTACAAATCGATAATGCCTATAGCAAAGGCCAATATTCAAGTCAACAGGTTATTTAAAAGTCTACCATGCTATAAACTTCATTCGAGAACTTACAGCCTGATAACAGTACGGATATTGGAGAATATTTGTACCTTAGATGGATGGTCTTGGTTGTATGGTGTTCTTTGAGGAGCTAGGTTGTTTAATCATGAAGCTTTCATTGTCTTTCTCCTGGACGACATCATCAGCACTAACTTCACTATGGAGTAGTGAGCTGTCAATATCTCTCCGTGAGTGATTCAGTAGCTTGATTGTTATGTCATTGACTGACTGCGTGACCTCTGACCTTTCTGTCGTTTATCCTTCCTTGTTATTGGTTGATAGATTGGGTCTATGTCTACACATCTGTTGATTGCTGACTGACTGATCTGAATGCCAAGCTTTATGGGATTCTCTGATGACATTCTTTGTGTTTCCTCTTTCGGTCGAAGATTTCTACATTATCCATAATTATCCACATGCATTGAAATAAGTAACGAAATGTCGTGACGTTTAATAGCCAATTGGTGTTTATGTGGACGAACGCGAAGGTGGGCGGCCACTTTCTCCAATGTAGTGTTGACTACAGTTGTTCCAGTTGATTTTGTAGATGATATTCGGTTTGTCGCATCCATTGATCTGCATCATAGTGTTTGCAGGGAATTTGTTGGTTTATGAACCACAGCAATTCCACTAAGTGGTCTCAGTAATCTTGTGATTTCTGATACATCTTCTGTATGTATGGTAGAATGATGCGTTTGCTGATTTCTGTTGATGACTTTGTAGTTGATGATGTACGGGATAGGCATCTTATGATAAAGTTTGGTGGGTAGCTGTTCTTCTTTAGGATGGACATCAAGTAATTTTCTTCATTTCTCCGTGAAGTTGTTGTACTGCAGTGTGTTCTCGCTCTTTTGAATAAGAGCTGCACGCAGCTGATCTTGTGCGTTTTTGCTACTGTAGTTGAGGACTTGGTCAGTGTGTGTTGGCTTCCTGTACACTTAGGTTTCCAGCTTTTCGGTATTTGTTCTATTGACTAGAACATCCAGGAATGGTAGTTGGTTGTTCGATTCCTTCTTCATTGTGAATTTGATGCCATTGAAAATGTTGTTGATCAAATTGTGGGTGTTTTCTATATCATTTTGTTTTTTAATGATGACAAGTGTCGTCCACAGAGCGAATCCGGAATTTTCGTTTGATCGCAGGTAGAATGATGGTTTCCAGTCTCTGCATCACTGCTTCTGCAATTAATCCGGATATCGGTGATCCCATTGGAGTTCCTTTTTTCATGTGTTTGTATATCTTGCCATTGAATTGGAAGTCTGTTGTCAGGCCTAGATCGATGAGTTTCATAAGACCTGAAAGGTTTGCGTCTTCAGCGAGTAGGAGGGAAGTAGTTTCCTTCGCTAATTGGGGTTCGATGGATGTGTATTGTGCTGTGACATGGAAGGATATCATTAGTTCATCGTTTTCTATATTGATGCTTAAGTTCTTTTCTAATAATTCTGTTGGTGACTTGATAGAATGTACTCTTGATTGAACTAGGTGTTTCAGTTTTCTTGATATGTTGTATGTTGGAGTTCCCGGAATTGAGGCTATTGGTCGTAGAGGGATGTCTGGTATGTGTAGTTTTAGTCTGCCGTAGAATCGAGGAAGGACAATTCCATTTTTGATTTAATTCTCCATTTGTCTTGCTTTGTTATTTCTTCTGTTTTAAAGAGTTTATTCAAGGTTTTATTGATCTGGTTTTCGAACTTCTGGATAGGGGTTGGCTTCAAGTGGTTGATATACATTTCATCAATGAAAGCTCCACGATTAAACTCTCTCGCTCAGAGAACACAATATAGCCAAGAACAGCCCGGATATGTATAATGGGTCATTGATTTGGATAGTTAACTTCTAACCAGTGGAAACAGATAGACAGAGAGAATCAACATAGAAGCTCACATAGAAGTGCATCACCACAAGTTGCCATACTTCACTGTAGCATACGGAGAACAAGTGGATAGGAAAGGAATGATATCAAAGTAGAGAAAGTTCTGTGTAATAGAATAAGCAATTTCGACTTCAGAAGAAATCAAAGAGTAAGTGTATTTGGGCCAATGTGACCCAATTTTCAGCCATATCATCAAGGCTCTCCAACTACGGACTGCTATCGTCTAGGGTAACCCTCAACCAGGTAGTTTACATCTCCCCTACAAGACTGAGATCACCATTCAGGGACCTTATAGACTGGTGCCATGTCTTGTTCTGTCCACCCTGAGCCCTCTTCCAATCGCGTCCAACCTCTCCTAGCATAGCACTAGTCAGTCGCGGATTCATAGATTGCTTCACCTTCTGATGTCTAACCAACCAAGTAACTACCAATGATTCTGGAATACTACTTACTACGTCTGGAAGGAAGGAAGGTACCTGCATATTGGAAGAAGGGCTACCTTGTCAAACTCCCGAAGAAGGGCGACCTAAGTCTTCGCAAGAACTGGCTTTACGACTAAACAATACAGCTCAGCGCACACAATACAACCAAGACCATCCACCTAAGCTAAAAATGTTCTCCATTATTTCAATATATATATATATATATATATATATATATATATATATATATATATATATATATATATATATATATAGGAAGCACTGTTTCAACTACAGGCGGCACAGACGAAGATGTCAAAGTCAGAATCGGAAAGACAGCAAGACAGGCGTTCATTAGCCTGAAACCAGTGTGGAGATCTTCTGCACTGCACTCAGCATGTGGAACAAGATCCGGATTTTCAACACCAACGTCAAGTCAATGCTCCTGTATGGCTCAGAGACTTGGCACGTTACGAAAGGGATTTCCAGTAAACTACAGACATTCATCAACAACTGCTCATGGTGGCACGTTACTGAAGATCAGATGGCCAGAATAACAAGAATAAGCAACAAGGAGCTCTGGGAACGAACCAACCAAGAACCTATCACCCAACAAATATGCAGGAGGAAGTGGAGATGGATTGGGCATGCACTGAGAAGGCCGACTGGGGACATCATGCATCAGGCCAGTTGCTCGAGTGGAATCCCCAGGGGAAGCGACGAGTTGGACGTCGGTGGCGATGGTGACATGGAGGAGGTCGTGTGAGGAGGAAATGAGAGCTTGTGGGCTGTCGTGGAACCAGGTTGAAAAGATCTCAGAGAACAGAGGTCACTGGAGACGTGCTACTGAAGCCCTATATTCCACTAGGAACCCAAGGGACTAAATAATGAAAATAATAATAATAATTATAATTATATATATATATATATATATATATATATATATATATATATATATATATATTAGTGAAATGTGATACTCCTTGTAACTTAATTAACAGTAGAGATTGGATATAATTGATGAAAACCATCCAACGCATGTTCATTAACAGTAAGTTTACTATAAACCATTTTTCTCTTATTTTTAGTAGTTGCAACACCTCAGTTTGTGAGTACAACACTTCCTCTATTCGCCTTCTTCATTGATGGAAATCAGCATCAATTTCAAGTCTTGTTGCTTGTAGTATCCCGTTGTTGAGTAGATCGAATTGACTAGTCTCTATTGGCATATGAACTCGTGCACAGATGCCTCTCTCCGGGAGATTGCCTAGTGGGAACAACATCATTCACTGGAAGGCAGGTACATTCAACTGACAAGACCCTAAGAGATTGATGGCTACTATCCAACATTACTCAGGTGTCAAGTATACATTATTCGATGCAAATCAATCAAACAAATACTAAAATTTAATTGGAAGAGGTTTGATAATTTTAGCATCAAACAGAAAATTGAAGAATACTGATAGAAAGGGATGAAATCGAAACCAAAGTGTCATCAGTCACTAAGATAGAAGCTTTGGATTTCAACCCTCGTTTTACATTACGATGCGGACAGGAAAAATGTCATTAGACAATTTTGTCCTACAGTTGACCAATCAAAATAAGTTGTTCACCTTTTGACCTAGCGGATTTATATGTTGATGAAAACTGTATTTAAATGATATGCTTTTTTTGCCAAATAAAGTATCTTCCTTACAATTAGTCAGTCAGTTCACTGAAGGTATAAAGTTCTGAAGAAGAACAGTCACTATGCGTTGTCGGATTTCGGATTGATCTGTCAATTACTTCAAATACTATTTCTTGTCTTCGATATATGAGCGGCTACCATGAAAGTTGGTATTCGTATGGATTTCGCCCATCATGATTTATTTCTAGTGTCTTATGTCGCACAAACTCGAAGATTTACAGGCAAAAACTAACAACTTGGTAAAAGAGCCACGGCAAGCAAGACAGAACTTCAGCAACTTTAGGTGTACGTAGAGATGACAGGTGATGAACATACCCAAAAACCACCACCCAACAACAACAACAACAAGCACCAATCACCGTCAACTGGAGAAATCTAAACGAAGTTGTCTCTTTCACCTACCCACCTAACTAGGCAGCATCCTCTCAACTACAGGCGGTGGCACAGACGACGATGTTCAAAGCCAGGATCGGAAAAACAGAAGACAGACCTTCATTCATGTGAAATCAGTCTGGTTATCTACTGGACTCAGTACAAGCAACAAGATCTAGATTTTCAACACTAAGTTAGTCAAGTAAGTCATTGCTACTATGTGATGGTTGAGAGACTTGGCGCATCACGAAAAGCATTTCCAACAAACTACAGACATACATCATCAACACCTGCCACCTACCCTCACTCCATACTGAAGATCAGATGGCCAGAATAACAAGAATAGGCAACAAGGAACTCTGGCTGGCCGGCAACGAACCAACCAACGAAGCAAGAACCTATCACCCAACAAATATGCAAAAGAAAGGGGAGATGGGTTGGGCATACATTGAGAAGACTGTTTGGGACATCACGCGTTAGGCTAGGCCATCGAGTGGGACGCAAAGGGGAAACGACAAGTCCAGCGTCCGAAGATATGGTGACATGGAAGAGATCGTGTGAGTAGGAAATGAAAGCTTATATGCTGTCATGGAGTCAGGTTGAAAGATTGCAGAGAAGAGAGTGAAATGGCGACGTGTTACTGAAGCCGTATGTTCCACTAGGAACCCAAGAGATAAGTAATAATAATATCGGGGGGATGTTAATACTTCTGATAGTGATTATTTACCAATATATTCATGTTCTATACAGATGAAGAAAATCTTATGGAATAAAATAACATCATCTTGCTATACAAACAGTGTGTTCAATATTGAATTGTTAATCATGATATAAATAAAGCATACCTGTTCATGACCATCAAAACATGCAGCACGAAGTGCTGTTGAATTTGTAATTGTTGTACGATTTACATCAGCACCTCGACTAACTAATAGTTCGACTAGTTTTAAATGTCCAGATGCTGCAGCACACCATAATGGAGGTACACCTTCAACTTGTTCCCCTTCAAACTCTACTACACCAACCTAGGCAAATGAAAACAAGAATATATGTTCAATCGATTCTATGAATAGATAGAGATAGGCTTAAAGAAAGTACTCAGTTATCGCTTACAGCATATTTTAACCTTAATCTATATGAAATAGATGCAAATATGTTCATTGATATTATGATCAAGGCTGGACCAATGAAAAGATCCTAGAATATTTGGATTTCGCCCATCATGATTTATGTCTAGTGTCTTATGTCGCACAAACTCGAAGATCTACAGGCAAAAACTAACAACTTGGTGAAAAAGCCACGGCAGACAAGACGGAACTTCAGCAACTTTAGGTGTACGTAGAGAAGACAGGTGATGAACATACCCAACCACCACCACCAACAACAACAACAACAAGCACCAATCACCGTCAACTGGAGAAATCTAAACGAAGTTGTCTCTTTCACCTACCCACCTAACTAGGCAGCATCCTCTCAACTACAGGCGGTGGCACAGACGACGATGTTCAAAGCCAGGATCGGAAAAACAGAAGACAGACCTTCATTCATGTGAAATCAGTCTGGTTATCTACTGGACTCAGTACAAGCAACAAGATCTAGATTTTCAACACTAAGTTAGTCAAGTAAGTCATTGCTACTATGTGATGGTTGAGAGACTTGGCGCATCACGAAAAGCATTTCCAACAAACTACAGACATACATCATCAACACCTGCCACCTACCCTCACTCCATACTGAAGATCAGATCAGATGAGAAGGCGAGAAAGAATAAGCAAGGAGGATCTCTGGTCTGGCAGCGAACCAACCAACGATACAAGAAGCTATTGCCCAACAAATGTTCAGAAGAAGAAAGTGGAGATGGATTGGATTGGACTGGACACACACCAGGCCAGGTCGTCGAGTGGGACCCAAAGGGGAAACGACGAGTTGGGCATCCAAGCCTATGGTTACATGGAGATCATGTGAGAAAGAAATGAAAGCTTGTGGGCAGTTGCGGCGCCAGGTTGAAAAGACTGCAGAGAACAGAGTGCAACGGGGGCGCGCTACTGAAGCCGTATGTTCCACTAGGAACCCAAGGGAAAAATAATAGTGTGCTAGGTATGTATTGTACACCTTCATCAAGTGGTTCCATGTTGTTTTTCGATATTCCTAGGATTTATATCAACGACTATTGAAAATCGTCGCTGATTTTGACTCTTAGCAATATCTGCTATCGTCTCAAATCACTAAGTTGGATCGTCTCTCAGAAGCCATCCAAGGAGTCATGACGTATCCTACAGATACTAACCTAACCCAATTATCCCTCATCACACGGCATCTCATCGTGTAATGTTAGATGAAGCAGGTTCAGGCTGGAAAGAGGCTCGAAGAAGCGACGCTGAAATATGACTGTCGGTTACAGACTCCAGACTGCCCAGTTGGGTTCCAGGAGATAACAGAAACCAGTGGTTGGAGACTTCAGGTGGTATGGCTCAGAATCGATGTCAGTGGTGTAGATATATCGCTAGGCAGGCAGACAGATCAAATCAAAGTAGAACCTCGCGCACAAATGGTTCACCTCAAATTGTCACACTCCACAGTAGTACACAAAGAACAGGTGGATAGAAAAGATTGATACTACCAAAGTAGACAAAGAGGTGTGACCGAACAAACAATCTGGAGATGGTAACTAGTGCAAATATTCAAGCTTTAGAAAATGTCAAGGACAGAATACATCTGCTCCATTATGGCCGATTTATAGCCATCTCACCAAGAGTCTTCAATCACTGATTCCTTTCGTCTCAAGAACCAAAACCAGACAGGCAGTCTACATTTTACCACACAACTCAAACCAACTGCAAGACATTTCACTGACTGGTGCCAAGTCCTAGTCTGGTCACCTTGAACCTTCTTCCAACATAAACCGGTTTCCTCTAGCAAAGCATATCGAGGTAGGTGGTGACTCGACAAGCACAGCTCATATTCAAGCCATCTCATTCGAATAAAATTTACAACCTTGTCCACTGACTTGTCTGTCTTGTCTAGTCAAACGGTTCTTCTGTATGCGAGCTGAGATTTCGTCACCAACTAGACCGTTCTGGCTGATGAAATTCCCCAGGAAAGTGAAATGTTCGACACATTCCACTTCACTCCCTAGCAATTAAAGTGGAAGTACTTGCAGCAAACCAGTCCTAGAGCAACATCTTACATTTCACAGGTGCGAAACGTATGTCAATTATACTTGCATGACTGCTAAACGCATTCACCAGACGCTGCATCTTGTCATCGTCTTCACTTAGCGCGAGAGCATAGTCTATGTACTTCAAGTCAACCAGAGAACCTCAATGGAGTAGATCAATCCCTATGAAGTCAGACCCGCCTAAGGTCATGTCCATTAGTACGTCAATGAAGAAGTTCAATAGGAAGGGTGATATTGGGCATCCGTGGACGACACCACTAGTTGTCACCAATCCTGACGACAACTCTCCATACCCAACCGAAAGCCGCTACGATGACGTGGTGGTCGGGCTTCCATATCACAATGACCCAACGAGCTATGCTGGTGGAACACTTGTTCCCTCCAGGTCCTAACATACAAGAAAGGTCTGTTGGATAGTGGTTAGAAGAAAAGCAGTTACCGTTGTGGCGTAAATTACTACACTATGATGGGGGTCTCAGGGCGAAGTCATACTGCTGTTAGCTGGATGGAGTGTGACAGTAGTAAGGTGTTTCCCTTGGATGACCAGCAGTGCCATGCTGATGTTGCCTTTTCAATAGAAGGGGAGGGGTAGGGTGGGTCGGCTTTAAAAATAACACACTTCACCATACCCTACTATCTGCCGGACCGGCGGTGTCGGTTCATTTGTCGTTTCTTTTCGACCATCCGGCCCAAAAAATACAAAACTTCAAAATAATTATACTCAAAAGGCTTCGTGTGACAGACCTCAAGCAGATGTACGATGGGCTCTGCGGTCAAACGAATTTCTAACCTCCTTTCGAAAGCCAAACGTTCGGACATGGTGGTTGTTTCAAGTGACTTTAATGCACAGGTAGGTAGATTGAGTGAAGCAGAGAGGCACTTAGGTGGCAGTTTAGGAGTGTCGGCTGGACGAACAGATAACGGTGATCACCTACTACAAGTGTACTCAGATAACCGCTTATTTTTAGTCAGCACCAATTTCAGACATAAAGAAATACACTGTCTGACCTGGCGTCCACCGAGCTCAACTCAGCGATGGACACAAATAGACTATATTGCTATTAGTTATCGCTGGAGAGGATCGGTGGAAGACTGCCGCTCCTTCTGGAGTACGTATTTGGACAGCAAACATGCGTTGGTCCAAGCGCGTATATGCCTGCGTCTCAGTGGACGTAGAAAAAACTTGGCAACAAAACCACTACGAGTGCTGCTGGACAACGGAAACACCAAAGCCGTGTTCAGTGAGAAGTTGGCTAGGTAGTTATCGGAACAAAAGACTGTCACCCATCCAGAAGCTTGGTACCATCTTCAGTCTACTGTAAAGGCAGCACTGAATACTGTAACCGACTCCAAAATAGTGGCTAAAAAGAGCCAGTGGTTATCAGCAGCTTCTTCCCAACTAATGAATGGACGTGAACGCATCCCTGCAGGCTCCGAGTACAATGAAGAGCGAGAGCAACTTAAAAGTAGACTGATGAGAAGTCTACTCAACGACTGCGAACAGTGGTGGGCAGCGAAGGCTAAAGAGATGGAAAACACAGCGGCTATTCGTAATAGTAGACAGTTATTTAGACTTATTAAGGAAACTGGGGGGAAAAGGTCAACAACAGTTAGTGAGGCTATAGCAGAGAAGGACGGAACTGTGATTCACTCACAGGGGAGACGACTCGAACCATGGGCAGAACACTTTGAGGAACAGTTTAACTGGCTCCCAGCCACCATTGCGTTGCCCACTATCTAGTCGGATAATGAATGGAACATTGAAATAAGCCCGCTCCCCAACACTAGCAGAAGTCAAGAAAGCGGTAGGTAACCTGAAATGAGGAAGGGAAGCAGGACCAGATGGACTAACTCCAGAGGTATACAAGATGGTGGTAAGGTGCTCTTAGTCAGGTTAACGGAAGTGTTAGACAGCATACGGGAATCAAATGGGATCCCTCTGACTGGACTAAATCACTGATTATTCCAGTCTTCAAGAAAATCGAGAAGTCCTCTTGTGATAACCACAGAGGAATCAGTCTGACGAACATAGTGTCTAAAATTCTAGGTTCTATAATTCTTCGACACCAGAGTGGAGCTCGTGAACAGCAAGCCTAAGAAAACTAGGCAGGTCTTCGACCCAACCATGAGTGTATCGACCAAATATTCACACTGCTCCAGGTCCTGGAACATAGGCACACTTACCGACACCCGACAATAGCTGTATTTCTCAACCTGAAGTCCACATTTCACTCCGTTGATCAAGAAGTCTTATGGCAATGCCTCTCACTGAAAGGCATCCCGAGTAACTACATCACTTATTATTCAAGGCTCTCTACTCGAACACTTGTCGGTGTGTTACAGCTATGGTGAGATGTGTGAGTTGATTACGTCGAGTAATGTCCGTAAGGATGGCCACTCTCTCCATTCTTATTCAATTTTATCATAGATATTCTCATGGAGGTCTCTCTCTCGTCACCTAACTACTACACAGAGGTTGACCTAATCACAGGAGAATTTTCATTAGACGTAGAATATGCAGATGACATAGTCCTGTTAGTCCTGTGAAGACGCTAACAAGACGCAGAGTCTTGTGAACACTTAGAGTGGGAATTCGAAAATGTTTGGGATACGTTTCTCACCACCTAAATGCAAATGGTTACACCGGGATTGCTCTTCAACAGAACCTTGGTTAACAGTAGAGAGTGTAGTGGTTGAGTGTGTCAACCACTTCACTTACCTGATAAGTGAAATAGGATCAGCCCTGACCTGGTGGCTCAGTGGCCCATGAAATTTCTGCACGAATACAAAAGGCTCGACTGGGTTTCGCCAACTTACCCCACCTATGAAGCCGCCGTGATATCCAAT